CCCCTCCCTGCTGCATCCAGGCCATTACCTGATTACCTTCAGTAGTCTCCTAGGTGATGTTTCTGCTTTCCCTGTTAGCCTTCTAATCTCTAATATATTTTTTCCATACAACTGCAAGGTGACCTTTAAGAGGTCAATCAGGTTAAATTATTGCTTAAAAAACTCTTTGGTGCCTTTCTCTTTGCACTTAGAATATAATCCAAATTCCTTAGCAGGTCTTTGCCTAGCTCTCTGTATAACCTTATTTCATGGCATTTCCCCCATCCTCTCACCACTTTTTACCCATTCTGGGTCTTTTCCGGTTCCTCTAGAGCATACCAAGCCTTTTCTTCTCTTTGGACTGTCCCAGCATCCCACTTCCCCAACCCCCCAATTTCTCCTCTGGGCTAATTCCTCTTCCAAGTCTCCACTTAAATATTCTTTTCTCATGTAAAGGTAATTGGAATTTCCAGTCTGAATAGTTCTCCCTGCTCCTGTTTCTCATAACTATCTGGACTTTTTGTCATAACATTTATCTTAGCATTATAGGTCTGTTCTTATTTTAAGTATCTATTGACAACGTGTTTTATAAATCTATGGCATTTTACAATGTAGTATGCTTGTTGGCTGTCTTCATGTGGTACCAGCAGTGGCCTTGAGTAAACAAGATGTCTGAGGGTAATCAGAGTAAGTGTGATAAGTCTGTGCGACTTTGGACACAAAATCAGATTATTCTGTTGCAAAGAATACTCTTGACATTCTTAATTGAAGAATTTGTCATTTGATGTACTTTAATTGGGTAAGTATATAAAAAAATAGTCATTTAGACAATAAAAATGAACTCTAGTAAGTAGGTGGGAAATCAGACTCCCTTTGATAGGTATTTTAGGCATGCCAAGGAGTATATGGGGACTGCTAAAGATAGCGTTTTGCAGTAAAGTATTTTGAAAACTACATTTTCCCCCTGTCCTTGGAATGTTGAGTTTGAGACTAAAATCTTCTTGGTCTGGGTTTCTCATGGAGTGGTTCTATTGTGATCGGAAGGGACTCAGTGCCTATAGGTCCACTGTATCTGGGAAAGACTAGGTACGTTTAATCCCTCCCTTTTTCTGTCAGAGAAACTGAGTCTTGGTCAGACCTTTTAATAGATTTCAAGGTTCCAGATGTAAATGAATCCCTAATCTAAGAAAGACCACTTGAAAGAAAGGGGGAAGATAAGTACAGAAGCACCTGCCTAGGCATAGGATATAGATAGAGAAGTTAGAGGACTGACTAATTACATATGGTAGCTAAAGAAGAGTCTAGAATGAATGCTTGTTTTGCTTTGAGTAACTGGATAGATTGTGGTGACAATAGTGTTTGTGAACACTTGCAGAGGAAGAGAGAGTAGATATGAAAAATTTTAGGAAGTTGTTTTAGGTATCCTTTGGATCATTTAAATGGATATAATCATTTCACAATTGAATACATGTGTATTTCTCTGGAGTTAAAAAGAGATTGCCATGGGAGTGATTTAGGCAAGTAATCTACTGTCACCAATCATATGGTGGATGTATATTAGACCAGAGAGGACACAAAGAGTGATAAAAGAAAGTTAAAGAATGAACCCTGAGAAACATTAACATTTAAAGGTCAAGGAAAGACGCTACAAGGCAGAAGGAGAAATACCAGGAGACTGGAATCACAGATGCTTAGGGAGGGTTGAAAGTTCAGGGGTTTGGGGAGGAAAGTCAACAGTGACATGCTTTAGGGAGATCAAGGAGGATAAGGATGGAAAAATTAGATTTGATATCCTTATTGGAAACAGTTTCTTTGGAGTACTAGAGTATAATTGATGAATGAGAGATGACAGTAATAAGCTTAGTTGGGAAGGGGGAAATAGAGTAAACGCTAGAGGGTTGCATAGTAAGAGAGAAGGTGTTATGTTGTGTATGTGGGCGCACATGACTTGTGTTTAAGTTGCAAGGTACTTGTGCTTTATATTTAGAGTGGAGGTTAAAATCCTGGGCTCTGGAGTCACATTTCCTGCACTCAAGTCTGGGCTCTGCCACATTAAGCTTTGTGGCCTTAGATAAGTTACTTAACCTTAGTGCCTCAGTTTTCCCATCTCTGAAATGGGAATGATAATGAGATTTTGAGAATTAAATGAGATAATATGTAGTAGGCACTTAGAGTTCCTAGCATACAGTAATTGCTCAAAAAATGTTAATTGTTAATGTACCATAAGAAAATTTTAAAGATTTATTTGATCATTTTCGTTGATAGATTATTAATTTGTTAGTGTTGGCCTTTAAATACACTTGCCTCAATTATGTTATTTTTCAGCTTTAAATAATTAACTGTTTTGGCACCATGCTGTATAATAAAAGGAAGTCTGCTTAAGTTTTTTTTTCCTACCTTCTCCTTTTTTAGCTTTTGTTAATTATAGCATTTGTTTTTCAGATACTTTTAATATTTAATGTTTGTTTTGTGACTATAATTTTCATGTTTGTTTTAGTCTTAATTCTACAGTTTAATGGTGGGTTCAAAGCTTGATACCAGTTCTTTTGCCATAGCTTCTGTATTCATCTCTTGGTTGGCTGAAGTTGTTTTTCCTGGAATTTCTTCAAGAAGGGCTCATGGAAACTATATTTCCCAAATTCTGGCAAGTTAAATGCTTCTTTGTCATCTTTATACTTGAATGAAAATTTGGTGGGGTATAATGTTTCTGGATGTCACTTTCTTTCCTTGAGAAATGTTCATATTTCCTTTACTATTCTCTACATTCATATTGCTGGATAGATGTCTCAGACCAGCCTGAATTTTGCACCATTTTCCTGTATTTCTATCAAACTACACTCAGAATAAAAACATCCTTTGGTCAATCAACCAAGTGTTTATTATTTATTAGACCTTTCCAGTGTCCACCCTACTGTACAATCTAGGGATTCAGCTCCTTTGAAGTCTAGCAGTAATTTTACTATAACATATCTGGACATTTTTCAACAATGAGATTCAGTCCCTTAAGTAATTGAAACAATGGGTATCAATTAAGCATATGTTGGATCTTCTTTGTCTGCATCTTTATCTTTCATATTTCAGTCCTAAAAAAATAAACCTTTTGGTTTATTTCTGCTGCTTTTGATTTACTTCACCCTGTACTCTATGTCTCTTACTGTATTTTTAGCAGTGTGTCTTTTTCTGTTTGTTGCTTCTATTTGGATGATATTTCTGAGATGGTGTTACTTTTACTTCTGCTTTGAGTTTTGCCATCTCATATTTTATCTCATTCATATTTTATCTCATTTATGTCTTTCTCTGAGCTCTTTCTTTGAGCTCTGTTCTTTGCTCTTGTTTTCCCAGAAATGACCATTGTAGTAGATTTTTAAAAATCATGGTGAGCCCGGCCGGGCGTGGCTCAGCGGTTGAGCGTTGACCTAGGATCTAGGCGATCGGGGTTCGATTCCCGGTCAGGGCACATGCCTGATTTGTGGGCTCGATCAATGACTCTCTCATCATTGGTGTTTCTATCTCTCTCCCTCTCCTTTCCTCTATCTGAAATCAATAAAGATATGTTAAAAAAAATAAAAATAAAAAAAAAATAAAAATCATGGTGATATTTTTTAATTGCAATTTTTGTCTACTCTTTGACAATCTTTTTCTGGTGATTTTTCTTCACTTGCCATTTGTTTTTTTCTATTATTTTCCTTTCTTTTTTTCTTGTATCTTGTATAGACCCTGTTTTATTTCTTTTTGATCAATACTCCTCTACCATTGAGGGGTGTTCGAACACTCTTGGATCATCTCTGTGCCTGGAGATTGATAATGAAAGACCAAGGCTAACTGGTGAGAGCTCTGACTCCTAACCACTAGACCACCAGGGAGTGGCAACCAAGGCTAACTGGTGTTCTCATTTGGCTGTGTGTGTAATTGAGTTCTTTTAGCCTTTCCTTCTTCCCAGATAAAAATTTCACTATAAAGAATTTCACTAGAGAATCTCCCTCGACTCTACCTCACTGTAGCTGCTCTCTCTGAGTAAAGTTTATCTGTATGATTTCTTCTTCATTTTTTATTTATTCTGCTTCTTGAGACCTTCCAAGAAAATTCCTATTTCCTATCTTTGCCTTGTTCCTGATGTCAAGTGGGGGTTGTTGGTTTTACTTCTCAGGATATGCCTGTTAACTTCAGAGAACTAAGCACCCATGGCACCTCTGTAGTTTTGGGTATATTCTGACAGGGTTGTTGAACATTTGTGTTTGATTTCCACTACTTTTGGCAGTCTTTCCTGACATAGTGCTTTGACATTACAGATGACTTTCATTTTGGTTCATTTTGCATTTTGGTTTCATACTGTTGTTTTGATATTTTAGGAGGATAAGGGGGAGATGGCTATCTTGACTCAGGGTTTAAAAGTGGAAGAACTATAATTCTTTGTAAAATCTGTTTTTTGATTAATATGTATCCTGTTATATGCATCGGAATATATAATGTACAATGACTTTTCTGAATGATGTTTTACTGACAGTCACTCTCCTTTATATGTCTTAGTGAACTCTGCATTGGTCTAAGAATACTTGAAAGTAGATACTTGGTTTTCATAATTTTCATTAGCCTGTATTAACTATTACTAATACTGTGTTGATTTCTCAATTGCAGTCAAGTAAAGGAGAATTGACTGTACTTGTACATCAGCTTCAAGAAAAAGACAAATTACTTGCTGCTGTGAAGGAAGATGCTGCTGCTATGAAGGATCGGTGTAAGCAGTTAACACAGGTGAAGACATTCTTGCATTTAAAGGATATACTTTTTTTTTTTTTTAAAGCAAAGGCTATTTTTATTTTTTATTTCTTTTATTTTAGAGGAAGGGAGAGTGAGAGAGAGAGAGAGAAACATCAGTGATCAATGTGAGAAACATCAATCAGTTGCCTCTTGCTCAGAGAGGTTTCTTCAGGTGACCAGATTCAAACCTGTAACCCGGGTATGTGCCCTGACTGGAAATTGAACCCGCCATGTTTTAGTGTATGGGATCACGTCTCAACCAACTGAGCCACACCAGCCAGGGCTAAAAGATATACTTTTTGAATCAGAAGCAATGAAGGATTTTAGAAATTGTCCACAATTCCTGAGTTAATTATTTGTGTAAAAAAGTGATACCCAGTAAAAGTCATTTTCTTTTAGAGTTTGTGTGGGGTCTTACTCTTTTGTGTTATTTATAGCCTTTAGTTGAATTATGAATTTAAAATAACAGTACTTATACAAATTTCAGAATAACAGAAGCATTTGGAACATTGTTCAGTTGGCTCTGACATAGAATTATTCTCTATAGAAGCACAAAACTCAGTTTGATTTTGTTTAAATCCAGTTTATAGGGTAAATTAAAATTATTACATAGGTAATTTATGAAGGGTTTTGTGATAAATATGTATGACTTTTAATCATTGAAGTTCTTCAAGCCCTGGAAATTTTACTGAGAGATAAAGAAAGACCTTTACAAAATCATGTAAAAATCGTGTCAAACAATACAAACTTCCAGATGTAAGGTACAGCATGGTGACTATAGTTAATAATACTGTATTGTGTGTTTGAAAGATTCTGGGAAAGTAAATCTTAAAAGTTCTCATCACAAGAAAAAAAATTTCTAACTGTGTGGTATTGATGTTAACTAGACTTATTGTGGTGATTATTTTTCAATAGATAAAAGTAACGAATCACTGTGTTGTATACCTGAAACTAATATAATGTTCTATGTCAATTAAATCTCAAAAAAACTTGTGTAGACTGAACATAATTGAAAATTTATAGAAAATGTAGTCTCATTCCTCCTGAAATACTGTTTCTCCTTTTAGGAATTAAATACAGTAGAATAAATGAGGTTTATTTCTGCATCATTCACGTAGCTACTTCATCACATTATGAGATTGACCTCACTTGAATATAAAATTCTTTATATTAATTTGAAGTAAATAAACATAAGTCATTGGGAAACTTTGTCAGATTAAGATTAATCAAAGTTGTTACTAAAATAAACATTTCCTTAAGACTAGAAATTTAAGTATAGTTTTATGTTATATTTTTGTGACTGTATTTAAAAATTTTTTAAAGGTAACTACTTTTTGGTAATTCAGTGAGCTGTACACTTAAGATGTATATACTTTTTCCTAAGTGCAGTACATAACAATTTCCTAATGTAAATGAATTAACTCTTAATGGGCAACCGTAAATTACATAAAAATCTTAAATTTTGTTCAGTTTTTTATAGCAGAGGCATGGGCTGATTATACCTGCAGATAACTTTAAAGTTGCTTGGCTTTCTTTTACTTTGATAATTAATATTTGTTCTAGAAGTTAATAATATTTGCAACACAAAATGAAGTCACCCTTTTAAGATTTGACTTGGGAAGATTATAAACCTTTGCTTTCTGATTTTTACTTTTCCCTTATTCCAGACTTCCATTCTATGCTATTTTCTTCAGGCTTTTTTTTTTTTTTTTTAACCCTAAAAGAGAGCTAGTACCTACAAATTACAGAGAATGAACTGGTTTGCTTTTTAAAATTTTTTTTAAAAACTTATTCATTGATTTGAGAGAGAGTAAAGGAGAGAGAAATATTTGTTGTTTTACCCATTTATATATTCATTGGTTCTCCTTGTGTGTGCCCTGACTGGGGATTGAACCCACAACCTTGGTGTATCAGGACGATGCTCTGACCAGCTGAGCTACCTGGCCAAGGCAACTGTTTGACTTTTAAAATGTTCTTATTCAGAAGGTAGGATTTATTCCAGGTTCAACTTTTAGACCAAAAAGTGCATTTGAAATAAGAGTAAACGGAACAGCAGTGTTTATGAAGGGAATTGGTGTAAAGAGAAGATGCAGAAGACAATATATTTTTTAAAACCTTTTACCTTGCTTTTTAAGTACTTATGTCAGAATTCATGATTATTTTACTGACATCATTTTTGCTGATCTTAAAAATGTTTTCTTATTATAGCCTTTTGTATTTTTTAAATAATATGTTCTTCATAATTTTTTTTTCTGGTTTATCTCCTAGGAAATGATGACAGAGAAAGAAAGAAGTAATGTGGTCATAGCAAGGATGAAAGATCGGATTGGAACATTAGAAAAGGAACATAATGTATTTCAAAATAAAATGCATGTCAGTTATCAGGAGACTCAACAGATGCAGATGAAGGTATGTCTTCATTCTTTGAAAACAAAATGAAATATTTGCATTCGTTTAATTAGCAAACTTTTAAGTGCCTAAATATGTGCAAGGCCCTGTGCTGGGCCATGGTAAAATGGCTAGTTAAACTGGCTGCCTCTTTAGGTGAACAACTTTTCTAGGTGGGGATGAGGTGGGGGGCTGGAAGCTGACAAGTAAATACTCCATTACAATAGCAGTGTAAGCTTTGGGTGCTTTCGAACAATGGAGATAGGGGGTGGGGAAGAGAGGGAACGATAAGGAAGACTTGTTAGAAATGATATGCAGACTATGCTGAATCTTTTGAAACAGTTAGGCATGGTCAGGTAAGAGTGAAGGAATGGGCACTGGGTATAAGATGTTTTTATTTGGAGTGATTCCTTAGTCACATCCCTAGAGATGATGTTCATTGGGTCTATTTTGGGGCCTACGATTGAGCTTTTTAATTAGTGTACTCAAAGTGTTTCTGATACAGATTGTCTAGAGAGAACAATTTGTAAAAATGTAAGACTTATGGTATTTGGGAGTCAGGGCTGGAATGTAAGAGAAGATCTAGAGAAGTAAATAGAGGTCCTGTCTTAAAGGGCCTTTGTATAACTGAAGACTGGGGAGCCAGTGAAATTTAAGCAACCCAGCACTGTGGTTATATTAGTATTTTAAATTATTACTCTGGCAGCATTGTGGAGGATGGAACAGATGATAGACCCTTTGGAAAACTTTTGCAGGAATCCAAAAGAACAAAGGCCTTAAATCAGATGTTGACAATGAGATGATGAGTTTGAGTGACTCAGAAAGAATTAGTAGATGGAGTTTGGTTGGAGAGTGGAGGAGAGAAGAAGAAATGATAACTCCTACAGTTTTGGTTCTGTCTCATGTTTTTACTTTCACTTGTCTTCTAGCATTTAAGAAGGTTCAGTTCTTATTGTCTGTCTTTTCTCTGTATCATCCATTTTCATTATTCCAGTTAGATCTGGCTCACTGATTTTTGTTTGTTTTCTTTCTTTTGAGATTTAAATACCATCTTTATTACTAATAAATAGGCTTTTGGAGAACATGGTTGGGGTCTGCTTGTCAAGTGGACTTATGATACTCCCCCAATTGAACTTTCTGAACCAGTAATGTTTTGAAATTATTTCCATTGCTGGATGATACTTCAGTTTGGAAGCTCTTATCGTCATGTCAAATTTAACATATGTCTAAAATCATACTCTTGCTTTTGATCAGGTTATTTTTACTTTCCAATATTTTGAGGCATTATTATTATTACTCTTCAACCCTTTGACTTTTTCTCTCCCTTGCCAAGTCTATAATTTATTCTGAAATCTTAAAGATACTTTATTTCTTGTTACTCTTGTATTTAATTCTTAGACATTACCTTGGTTTGTTATTTCATACTGTTGCCTGTGCAAATGGGGTCCTTTCACAGAGTCACAAGAAAAGCATTTCAGGAGACCCATGCATGGGAGGATGAGATGTAGTGGTAAGGTTTGTTGGGATAGAAGTAGAAGGCTGCCCCAGATTCCTGGTGTCTCATCTCTATCCTTCCCCCTGTGGAAAAAATTCACCCTTTTGTCTTCATCAAACCCAGGAAAATAGCCAATGTCCAGAAATTCTCTGCCATTGGTTTAGTCCATGTCAGAATTTAGTCCAGCTAGCACAGTCTCTATTCATGGTTGTGCTCTGTCTCGCGCTGTGTTGATTTACCTAGCTCCTGCTTGGAGCCTGCTTTTGGGAGTCTGTGTCGGCAGGTTGCCTACAGGTGGCTGCTAGGCCTGCATGGCTGCTGTGGAGAGAGAATGCACGAGCACATGAATGACTGCATGTTATGGGATGTGAGAGATTGCCTTTAAGCTTGGATTATATTATCTCGCATTTGGGAAGGACCAGGTGCTCTTTCAAACTAACCATTTTCCCAGTCCTTCCCTGGTTGGTGCTGGATCCTCCCCCTAACAGATCCATTTTTCAGTTCTTGCAGGGTTCTGTGTCCCTTATCCAATCTGATCCTTTTCCCAGGTTAGGCAGCTCCTTCCCTTTATGGTCTCCATCTTGGTTCCTGTGCATGCCTGAAAGTGGAAGGACCTTCCATTGCACCATCTTGGCTTCTACTGGGCATGTGCCCAACATAGGAATTTCTTTTTTCTTGTTTTATTCCTTCCCCCCTTAGTCTGGGAGAGTGGACTGGTTGTACCCTGGGGAGATTAGAAAGCCTGTCCTTTCTCCCCACCCGGGGCAAGGAGGGTGTGTTAATCTCTTTGGCGGGCAAAGCTGCGATCCCCTGGGGAGCCTGTGAATGCTGCAACTTCCTAGTGAAGCAGGTTTATTGTCTGACTTAGCTCCCTGGTAGATTAGGCTTCTCAGTGTCTGACTCCTTTCGCTCCTTTTATTAATAACTAGTTACCTACACTAATGGTACTAACATATAGCACCTTCTTAATAGGTCTCTCATTTCCATGCTAACATATGATTTGTACCAGATTTGTGTTTGTAAAATACTATTTTGATCACATTGCTAGTTTGCTGAAAAATTTTAAATTATTCTTCAAAGTTCAGATGTTTTTCATGGAATTACACTAATGGTATGAAAGAAGTGAATGACTGTTGTCGGATTTTTCCCCCATCCACTGCTGCCTCTGTGCTTTCATTTGGTCCAATCCTTCATCTTCCCAGCCCCCAACCCTTTGAAATTTTGTTTTCCATAAATCAGATTATGGAAGAACTGATTTTTCCAGCCTCAAGTGATATTTTCTTCTTAATTTCTACTTACTGTTCATTTGAAAATTAGCTAGGTACTTGTAGCATCATTTTATTGAGGGTGAAAGGTGTTGAAGTGATTCATCTTTTTTTTTTTACTTGACTGCTTTAGAGGCCATGATATTTAGATTCCATATGATGATAAGTTCTTTGAAAAGTAGAAAAACATACACTTTAATTTCTCTTAATTGAATAGGTTTATGAAAAATTAAGATTATTTCACATGTTAAAGTAAGTTATAATCCTTATGGAGGAGATAGAAGATTCATTGTTCTTTGTCTTTTGATTCTATAATTCTGAAGTAAAAAATTAGAGGCCAGAATATTTTAGCAAGTAGATTTTTGTGTAATGAATTTGCCATCTATTTGGTTATGACTCAGTTTGTAATTTAATATAAATGTATTGAACATATTTTCAACTTTAAAACTTGATTACTAAAATCTTTTAAAAATATTGTGTACATAAACTTGACAGGATCAAGAGAGCCTTAATTCTATATAAGTCTATTGGGTAGGAAAAAGGTACTGAATCATTTTTAGTTCTGAAACAGCATCTCTGCATTTATTTTGCATTTCAGATATGATAACAGCTAGCATCTACTTGCATTCTTGAATTTCTGTGACAGCTGGTATTTGCTTTGCATTCATCACTATCAAAATGTAATTCATCTTTTAAATTTGTTTATATTTAAGGATGGTGCAAACTTCATTCTTGATGCTTCTTACATTCTCATCATAATAAAGTGTCTTTTAAAAGTTACCTTTGGCAGTCATTGTTTTCTAAGTCTTATGTTTGTAAAATAATTTTAGTTCCAGCAAGTTCGTGAGCAGATGGAAGCAGAGATAGCTCACTTGAAGCAGGAAAATGGCATACTGAGAGATGCTGTCAGCAACACTACAAACCAACTAGAAAACAAGTATGTTTCCAAATGCTTTTTTAAAAATTGAATGGCAGAGTATTTTCATTGAATGGCAGAGTATTTTCTTGAATCATCAAAATTATATTTGGTTGTGATAGGTTAGACTTTTGATTTTTACATTTGTTTATAAAATCAGTTAATTTTCAAAAACAATTCTCTTGTTGTGTGAAGAACTTCTTCAGCTGAGCTACAAGACAAATACTGTGCCACCAGTGGAATAGTCTAAAAATTTATGAGACTGAATTTATAAGTTTTAAACCATGTATCCCCTTTATCAGTAGTTCTCAAATTTCATTATTCTGAAGAGCATTCGGCATGTTAGTTAAAGAAGCATAGTCTTGAGTCCTATCCCTAAAAGTTTATGATTCAGTGGTTCCGAGGTGGAGTCCAGGAATGTACATATTAAGACACATTCCTGTGATAGTTATATAGTTGGCTCTGGGCTATACTTTGAGAAACAGTGCACTAGAGAAGACTAGCAGCATGCTTACAGAGACTAAACACTAACTGGCTGATTTTAATAGATTTTCAGAACATTAGTTTGAGGGCGACACTGTTGATTCTGCTTATGAGTGTGGTCATTCATTTTCTTGATTATATTGTAGTGATTTTAGAATTTGTGTAATTGTCATCAGAATGATTCACAGGTTACACTCAACCAACTTTATTATTAGTAGTCACTTACAACCTTCCTTTTCAGTTGGCTATAAGTGGAATTACTGACTCAGCAACACTAATATAAAATATATTTTGGCCCTAGCTAGTTTGGCTCAGTTGTTAGAGCATCTGCCTGCGGACTGAAGGGTCCCGGGTTCAGTTCTGGCCAAGGGCACATACCTCAGTTGCAGGCTTGATCCCTGCATGCAGGAGGCAACTAGTCGATGCATCTCTCTCACATCGATGTCCCCCCTGAAAAGCAATGGAAAAAGTATCCTTGGGTGAGGGTGAAAAAAATAAAATGTTTTGTTATTCTTTATATGGGTTTATAATAATGGAAAGTTCCTAATCGAGTTACTGTTTTCAGGCAGTCTGCTGAACTAAATAAACTGCGCCAGGATTATGCTAGATTGGTGAATGAGCTGACTGAGAAAACAGGAAAGCTTCAACAAGAGGAAGTCCAAAAGAAGAATGCTGAGCAAGCAGTTACTCAGCTGAAGGTGATATATTTCCACCTTTATTTATCATTTCATAATTAATGTACACATTCAATTCAATGACTTAAATGTATATAAAGGTTTGAGATGTGTAGTTTGAGGCTTAATGGGACCTGTAGTGCTCTGCCTATATAGATGTGTGTGTACTAATGTAAGACTTGAATATAGGCTTAAGTTTGAAGTTAAAGACTGTTTGAAGATAATGAAAAATGAAATTAGCCGATTGACAAGTATAACCAGTTGAATTTCATCTTATATATGGAGGTTAGGGTCTACCTGTGTAAGGCAAAAATCATGTAGTTAAAATTACCTTCAACATCACTTATCCATAACTTGAATTCTTAGTAAGTTCAGCAAAGCCTATTTTTCTTCCAGCATTAGAATAGATTATTTTCCCCTGTATCAGCACAAGACCAAGTAATGCTCCAGTAGCTTTTACTTGAGCCATAGTACACAAAAATTATACACTGTTTCCTTAGATACCAGAATTTTTCTTTAGATACTTGGTAAGTTGAAATGCTTATACTGAGAAGAGATGCATGGGTTTGCTGAGGCTGTCTGAGAGATTAGTAGATTTGTTTCTCTTGCACTTACAGCATATGCACGTTGAGTAGACTGATGGGTAGGATTGTATTTTCTTCCTTTTACTGGGGAGAGTATTTGTTGAGTGTGTAGTTGAATTTGTGTAAGTTAACTGTATTAGTTTCCTACCTAGGTATTTGATACAATCATACCTTGATACTAGTTTCAGAGTAGCAGGGATTAAAAGGGCTTTGGGAAAATTGAATGTAGAAAATAGGGTAATTTTTGTTTTCTTGATGGATCCCTGTGGGAGATTGATATAATTGTTCTTTCTTTTAGTTAATATTTGTCTTGCTGATATATTTACTGCTGGCATTTATAAATATGGAAGTTTGTTCTCTGTAGACATGGATAAGTAGATAATGACACTAGAGATTAAAGTGTTGTGCTATACCTCAAATTATAAATTATAGGTACCTACTGAAATTTAGCAATAAAGATACCATCCTGTCTTTTGAAAGCCTATCAGCTCAAGGAAGATTAATGGAAAAAAGATTATAGCTAAGTGGATCAGATATATACATAGTAGTAGCTATATTGATCCACCAGCACAAATACTGTTTTGAAATAATTTCCAATCTGTAAATTCTGTATATTGGGAGTAGAATGGCTATGGCTGGTAATATCCATGCATATTACCAGGCTAGGCATATCTGCCTATCTTATTAAAATGTAGAAGATTAGTTGTTGGAATAAGCAGTTTTATGGTACAACAGTAAAGGTAGAGGATAATTAAAAAAAAAAATTGCAATCCTATGTTTATGCTGATTTATCCATTCTCTAGGTTCAACTACAAGAAGCTGAGAGAAGGCGGGAAGAAGTCCAAAGTTATATCAGGAAGAGAACAGCGGAGCATGAAGCAGCACAGCAAGGTAAGGCGATGAGGTAGTCATGTAAATATAGTATATAATTCTGGGTAAAATTGCCTCCCCTTTCCATATGTGGAGAACTTATAATTTGGCATTTTGGTTATAGCTCAATAAAAATAGCTTTTACACTTTTAGAGTACCTTTATTTCTTTAACATTTCTTAGGGTTTTAAAAATAAGCACTCTAGCCCGGCCGGTGTGGCTCAGCTGGTTAGAGCGTCTTCCTGTACACTGAAAGGCTGTGGATTCGATTTTGTCAGGGCATGTGCAGGAAGGCAACTGATTGATGTCTCTCTCTCTCACATTGATGTTTCTCTCTCTTCCCTTTTCCCCCTCTCTAAAATCAGCTAGCATGTCCTCAGGTGAAGATTTAAAAACAACAACACTCTAATAGCTTTGTCTGAATCATTAAGTTGCAGAAAAATTATAGTCCATAATAGGGTAATGGGAGCCTAGCTGTATGTGTTTCTTTTCTGTAGTTACTTATTCCTTTTGGTTCCTTGATCACCTCTTCATTTGATTTTTTATTTCTAAAGAAGGACTCACTTCCTATGTTGTGAAGAGAAAAACAAGAGCATTGCAATTCCAAGTAGTTGACTTAAACTACCTACTACTTAAATACTTTCACCACTTATTCTTAATTTGATGAATACATCTGGAGATCATGGAGCTTGTGTGTGTTATTTATAGCTTCACTACTCCCTTTGTCCCACGAAAGAGGTGATGAGCTAATAAAATATAATTTTAAACAATAAGGTAGATCATGCAGAGTTTGGCTCTTTAGACCTTTGGTTTCCTCTGATTTTTTTTCTTCTCCCCAGTATTTTCCTTTGGTTCAATATTTAAATATACCCAAGATATTAAAGACCTTTTTCTTTATATGTAAAGTTTATATTTATGTTAAGATACATTAGCTTATTTTTAAAATTAATATTTTATATTTAATCAACAAAGCATACAAGAATTTTGCCAAAAGAATTGTAACTATAAGCTATATATAACTCCAAACTATATAATTATAAACTGTAAAACCTCACTCTGACCAGAAGCAGTTACTTTTGCTTTTAGTATTTTTTGTCATATCTTTTTTTATGTTAATACAAATTATTTTTTAATGAAAAGTGCTTTTTAAAAAATTACATTTATTGGGATAACCTTGGTTAATAGGGTCATATAGGTTTTAAGTGTACATTACTATGATAAATGATCTATATATTGCATGTGTGCCCACCACCCAAAGTCAGATCATCTTACACCACCATATACTTGGCCCCCTTTACCCTTTACTACCTCCCCACCTCCTTCCCTCTGGTAACCACCATACTGTTGTCTGTCTGTCTCTCTGAGTTTCAGTTTTATATACCGCATATGAGTGGAATATGGTTCTTAGCTTTTTTGACTGACTTAGTTCACTTAGCATAGTATTCTCAATGTCCATCCATGCTGTTGCAAATGGCAGCATTTCATCTTTTCTTATGGCTGAGTAGTAGTCCTTAGAATAAATATGTACCGTATCTTCTTTCTCTAGTGCTCTATTGAAGGACACTTTGGTTGTCTCCATGTCTTGGCCACCATGAATAATGCTGCAATGAACATAGGGGTGCATATATCTTTGCAAATAAAAGTTTTTGAGTTGTTTGGGTAGATACCCAGAAGAGGGATTGCTTGGTCATATGGTGTCTCTATTCTTAATTCTTTGAGGAACCTCCATACTGTTTTCCATAGTGGTTGTACCAGTTTATATTCCTACCAGCAGTGGATGAAGGTTCCTTTTTCTCCATAACCTCTCCAGCACTTGTTATTACCTGTCTTGTTGATAGTAGCCATTCTAACAGGTTTGAGGGTGATAGCTCATTGTAGTTTTGATTTGTATTTCCCTGATAACTAATGAAGTTGAACATCTTTTCATATACCTGATGGCTGTTTATATGTTTTCTTCGGAGAGGTATCTGTTCAGGTCTTCTGCTCACTTTTAAATTGGATTGTTTGTTTGTTTGATATTGAGTTGTATGAGTTCTTTATATATTTTGGATATTAACCCCTTGTCTGAGCTGTTTTGCAAATAACATCTGCCATTCAGTTGGTTGCCTTTTTGTTTTGTAGTCAGTTTCTTTTGCTATGCAGAAGCTTTTTAGTTTGATACAGTCCTATTTATTTTTGTCTTTACTTCCCTTGCCTTTGAGGTCAAATTCATAAAATGTTCTCTATGACCAAAGTCTATAAGTTTAGTACCTATGTTTTTTTCTATGTAAGTTATTGTTTCAGATCTTATATTTAGGTCTTTGATCCATTTTGAATTAATTTATGCACCTGGGGACAAACTAATCTAGTTTCATTCTTTTGCATGTGGCTTTCCAATTTTCCCAGCACCATTTATTGAAGAGGCTTTCTTTAAAAAATGACATGAGGATTTTGATGGGGATTGCATTAGATCTGTAGATTGCTTTTGGTTATATGGCCATTTTCACTATGTTGATTCTTCCAACTCATGAACACGGAATGTCTTTCCATTTCATTGTGTGTTTTTCAATCTCTTTTAATAATGCTTTGTAGTTTTCAGTATATAGGTCCTTCACATCCTTTGTTAAGTTTATTCCTAGGTATTTTATTTTGGTTGCAATTGTATTATATTTCTAAATAAGCACATTATTTATATTTATATTGCTATCTCTTGGTGTAGGCATCAGTTAACTTTCTATCATAGGAAATGAGGGTTTAATACTGTCACACCATTTCTCCCACCTTCCCCTCGTCCTTATGATATGGTTATATATACTTTTTGATCATGTCATTGTTTACATCATTATGACACTGTGTACTCAGTGCTGAGCCAAGATAAATAATAAAACTGCAATTCTTTTCTTGAACAATGTTTTAATTTTCTGGAGCTAATTGCTGCTTTATGTGTTTTTAAGTTGCTTGATCTTTGTTATACCTTTTAAATTTTTACCCATGGTTAAACCCCCTTTAACATGCTCCGCCTCCCCTAGCCTCTCAACATGCTACATAATGGGGACCCTATTAGTTTTTCCTGGGGGTGTCCCTTTCGAGTCCTCAGTCTTCCTGTTTGAGTATTCAATAGTTTTTAGGTTTGCTCCATAGCTATCTTCCTGAGACTCCCTTTTGTCTCTATTCTGTTTTCTGGGTTCTGTGTCATCACCATCTTTCTTGCTTTTCTCCCTCATTTAATAGCAGATGTTTTAGTGGCTTCACAAACATTTGTTTGTATATCTGAAAATATTTTATTCTTTCTGCTTTTGCTTGATTTGCAGTTTGACTAGATGTAGAGTTCTGGGTTGAAAATAATTTTTCCACAGATTTAACTTACACTGTTGCTGGTAAGGAATCTTATGCTCTTTTGAGTTCTAAACCTGGACATTACCATTATATGTTTAATATTTAGGAGCTCTTTTATGAATTGTGTTCCATTCTGATATTAGTGTCTCCTTATGAAAGAAACATCTTACTTTTCTTAAAACATATCTAATACACACACATATACACATTTCTTCTTCTCTGTATTTGCCTCCCTGTCTTTGGTGGTAGTGGTCTGTGTTCTGCCCCTGTCATCCCTCCCCTCTGTTTTGGAGTTGTGTTACGGGGCCAGGAGGCAGCTCTCATAATGCCAGTATCGAGTATTCCTGAACCTTTCTAGGTTTCTGGAACACTTGCCCTTTTCTTGTCTCTGCCAAGTTAGTGATCATCTCTCATTCATTTTGTCTTAATTTCTTGTGATTTGGAGTTACATTTACTTCTGATTGCATCAAGTATAGTTTGTGTTTGTTTCTCTTTTTTCTTTTGCTGTTTTGGAGTTATTAGAAGAGAAGCAGACAGAAACTTTTTACTTAATCTTATACCAGGGCATTTGCCAGCTTTCAGCTTCTTTCTCTGCTTTCCAGGTAGAAGAGTACAGGGAATTTACAAGAAATTCACTAAATAACTTACTAAAGTACTTACTACAGTGTCTTTGGGAAATAAAGAATGCTTTCAAGAATGCCAGTGTGGCTTGTTTGGGCATCATCCCATGCACTAGAAAGGTTACTGGTTCAATTGCCAGTCAGGTCAGGGCATATGCCAGGGTTGCGTGTTCAGTCCCCAGAGGGGGGCATGCAGGAGACAGCCTATCGATGTTTTGCTTTCACATCCATGTGCCTCTCCCTCTCTCTCTAAAAAAAAAATAAAATCAATAAAATAGAAAAAAAAAGGGTATAACAGTTTTAAACATCATTTACTATTCAGTTAACACATTTATTAACTGTGTACCAAGCCTTGGTCACAGCTCTGATTCAGAAAAGGTAATATGTGATTTCAGAAAGCTGGGAGAGGAGACAAATTAGTACCGTGTGGCAGTTACTGTGATTAAAAGTAAGCATAAATTGTTCAGGGGAGCCATATGCAGGCAGGAAGGAGAGAGCAGAGGAGAGATTCAAGGAGAGTTTTCTAGAGGAGACAATGTCTACACTAAAGATGAGTATCAGTAACCAGGAAAAAATGCAATGCTGTGTTACAGATTTACAGAGTAAATTTGTGGCCAAAGAAAATGAAGTACAGAGTCTGCATAGTAAGCTTACAGATACATTGGTATCAAAACAGCAGTTGGAACAAAGACTAATGCAGTTAATGGAATTGGAGCAAAAAAGGGTGAACAAAGAAGAGTCTCTGCAAATGCAACTTCAGGTATCTAGTTTTCTCTCTTTTAAAAAATAAAGGTGGGAAGTCCTTGGATGTATCTGTGTAGAAGAGAGAAGATAGTCTGCCTTGTCCTAATTCTGGAGTGGTGATGAATAATTAAAACTTAATCTTTGCGCATTCGTCACAGTATGGTGTGTTTGAATATGTACTTGAAGATTTCCTCACCCACGGTCTTAGGCTTTTTCTATTAGATTAGAAATAACACAACATATTCTTAATATCTACCTTATAAATTAACTCTCCAAAAGAATGCCTCATCATTGTTGCTTTAAAATGATGTCTTTTGGAATCTAAGAAGGCCCTTTTAAAGATAAACACATGTACCTATAAGTCATTTTTGTTCATATGCATTGGTATATTTGTTAACAGCACACTTTTCCCCCCTCTCCTTTTTGGTTGCTATTTATGAAAGGATATTTTGGAGCAGAATGAGGCTTTGAAAGCTCAAATTCAACAATTCCACTCCCAGATAGCAGCCCAGGTAATGGTGCTTTCTTATTGCTTATCATTACTAATAGCTTCCTAGCTGTGTAACTAATCATCTGAGTGCTTGTTGCATGCTGAGTACTGGATTAGGAGTTGGGAGACTAGTCATTGAATCAACATTGATGATCCTGAGCACGAAATACTCTGATAATTATATATAGTGCTGTGGGAAAGCAATAAGAAATCCAAATCTAGCTAATTGAGAGGTAGGTTAGATAGTTTTTACCATTGGAGGAAAAAATGTCCACAATTCTGTCACAAAACAGGAGGAATTGGCCAAATGGTGTCAAGAATAGTAATTTGTGTATTAGAAGTGTACTCTGATACTGACTAGCCAAAATTTTATATGCCCTCAGGTGGTAGCAGTATTCTAACCATAACTCTCAGATTATATATGCAAAAGATCCTTGTAAGATTTATATTTCAGTGTAGTGAGGGAGGAAACCTTCCAAAGTTTTGCAAGTGTTATTACAAGACCTGTTTTTCTTTAGCCTCATTTTTATGTTATGTAGATAGGTGGATACAGTCTTTAGAATATAAGTGATACAACAATAAGGAAAGAGAGTAAAAACTTCTGAGCACTTAACTTGTTTCCAGAATATACATACTGTGAGTTTTAATTCTTCAACTTTAAAATTCTAAAAATTGCTTGAAGAGAAAGTATTAGCTTAGAATAGAAGTTACCTTTCTGTATAAAAAGTAGTTTTAACATAAAAAACTTGTTTTTAAGGTTAAGGCAGATTTAAAGTCCTAAAACTTTGAGATAGCAAACATTTTTTTCAATTGCTTTCTTTTAGAAACTGTAGTCTAAAATGGGAAGAATTATATACTGTAGGAAAGGATGTTTGTGTGTTTTATGGATGTGTATGTATATGTAAATTATCAAGTCAAGTTGAATTGAAATCCAAGTTATTAGCTGAAAGGTAGCTCTAGAAAATTTATCAGGAATTAAATGCTTAGAGGATGCTATAAGTACCTATTAAAAAGTAACGATGAGCATAGGTATTACCAAAAAGCTTAATTCTTACCTTAATCATGAACTGTATCATTTCATTATTGGTAACTGTTACTTAGAAAAAGAAGTAAAGGATGAAAAATGGAGTTTGTGACTGTTTTTTCTATGTTTTGTTGCTTTGCTGGTTGTTGGTGATCAAATTTGCCTTCAAAATATTAGCTACTATTTATTGAACACTAATCATGGGCCAGATGCAGCCATAACAATTTTATATACTTTAATTTCCTTTAATTTTTAAAGCTCTGTTGTAATGATGATTGTAAAACTTTTAAACTTTGTCTTAAATGCTTTTATGTTGACACTGTTGTTCTTTCTTAGACCTCTGCTTCAGTTCTAGCAGAAGAATTACATAAAGTGTAAGCCTGCCTTTCTACATTTCTCTTATAATTGCTTAGTCACCATTAACTGATACCTGTTAGATTCAACACTTACGATTAAATTTATATTCTAACTTGTTCAGGAAATACTCTCAATTAAATTTGGAGCAACTTTTGCTCCCACCCTCTCAGTGATTTGGTCCCTGAAAGAGGTTACATGTTCTGTGTTTTTGTCTTCATAAAAAGAGTTGGGGAAATTTTTTTCATTTGTGCTTGAGCATTTATGTGGGAGAGATAATTATGATTTGAGGTCAGTGGAAGTTGATTAGTTTTTGTACCTAATAAGTAGTTGCAGGTACTCTGTGTCTAACTATGTGGTGGTGGCCAAAACAAAGTTCTGTTTTTTTGTGTGTGTATTATGTAATTGAGTTAAGAAGCCCTAAAATCTGGTTTTGACATTGCCAGGCTGTGAGCTTACTTATTTCATATAGGAAAGGATGTTTGTGTGTTTCCAATAATTTAAAAAATTACTTATTTGACCTCAAGTTTTAAAATAAGGGTAGGTATTTTAAGGAGCTATAGTAACGCATATGACAGTTATTCCTAAACTGCAAGGGGCTGTAAGAGCGGAAGGTACAGTTATGTGAGAAACGATTTGATTTGTGCTTTGACTTCTAAATGTTTATTGAATGTACAAATGTATTTCCCGTTAAAGGATTGCAGAAAAGGATAAGCAGATAAAACAGACTGAAGATTCTTTAGCAAATGAACATGATCATTTAACAAGTAAAGAGGAGGAACTTAAGGTACAGTAATTATTGTAAATGGCTGAAGTATTTCACAGGCATTTGAGTTACCCTGATCTAGTAATCATTGTATGTGTCTGTGAAGAATGGAAAATACCCTAGAATTTGTTTGAAAAGTGGCTCTTTTCTAAACTACAAAATCCTTTTTAGCCCTCTAAGAAGAGAAGTTTAAAGGGTTTTTCTCACATGATACAATTGACAATAATTTGGGAAATATGCTAAACAACAGGAATTGATGGTTTCTCTTATTTAAGAAATCATCATTTGAGACTTTTGCTTTCAGACCTTTGCTTAAGTAGAAGAGTGATAAATTTCAAAGTCAATTATATTAAAAATTTCTAATTCTATTTTTCCTTCTAGGATATACAGAATATGAACTTCTTATTAAAAGCTGAAGTGCAAAAATTACAGGCCTTGGCAAATGAACAGGTAGATCTTTATTGCTTTAGAGCATTTACCTCAGAATTTCAGTTTGTCTGAACTTATTTTTATTGGTATTGCAAGCCCTCATTTTACTCATCGAGATAGTAAATAAATATTACAGTTACTCGTGTCTTTGCTGCATGGTGTATTGTTGAACATCTCTTCTATTTGACTATGACTCTCAGAACCCACCTAGATGTTAACTATTTCCATGTTGAAATTAATGTTCCATCCGAGAATTGACCACTTTTGAGATATCAGAGGAACAGTTAAAACACTCTTAATGTGTTGATTTGTTTAGCCTTCTGTCATTTAGTTAAAAAAGGATATATCTTTTTATTAGGATAAAGATGATCAGTAAGAAGTACAAAATATTGGATAGCAAAATGTGTTATAGAAATGTATGATATTGCTTTAATTTTATTTACTCCAAATATATGAATATAGCTTTTTAAAAAAAATTATTTAAAAAATATATTAATTTCAGAGAGAGGAAGGGAGAGGGAGACAGAGAGAGAGAGAGAAACATCAGTGATGAGAGTCACTGATCGGCTGCCTCCTGAATGCCCCCCACTGGGGATCGAGCCTGCAACCCAGGCATGTGCCCTGACTGGAATCCAAGATCTCTTGGATCATAGGTCAGTGCTCAACCACTGAGCCACACCTGCCAGGCTGAATGTAACTTTTTAACATGTACAAATAAGTAAAAGAATAGTTTAGAGTACTTCCTGAGAAATGATATAATTCTCATCTCATTCTAAACACAGGTTGCTGCTGCACATGAACTGGAGAAAATGCAAAAAAGGTAATGTATTGTTCTACATGGAGCCATTCATACATTTATGTCTAAGTATAATTACAGAGAATATTGCTGCTTATAACTGACAGTTGTACACATCATTTATGTAAACTCTTTGAATATATGAAGTGTTTTGATTTTTTTTCTCATAGTATTCATGTTAAGGATGATAAAATAAGACTGCTTGAAGAGCAGCTACAGTGTGAAATTTCAAACAAAATGGAAGAATTTAAGGTGTGTGATTAAGTTTGTTATCCCAGCTTTTTTTGAACAACCTTGTAATAGTTTTTAGTTAAAGTGAATGTAGAAATACTACTTTATGTGTAATGACTCTGAAACAGTGTTTTTATAGTTTATTTGGGGACTTATATAAACAATGAATTTTATCATAGACTTTTTGCCTAGATTATTTTATTATCTCTTTTTAGAACAGACTTTGGAAATTTGTTTTGCCCCGGCTTTTTCTCTATAGTTTTCAGTTGTCAGTTTGTGATGGTTTTATCTGTCTCTGTGGTTGGTGCTAATTTTTGGTCATGGCCAGCCAGCTTGAGTGCTGTAAAGCATTCTGATTGCCAGGGTGCATCTCTGTGTTGTATGATTTGCTTTATTTGGACTTTTATTTTCTAGTACTCATGAAAGCAGGGTTTCCCAGATTCCATTGGCACAAACTGTTCAACTCTTTGAAATACCCTTGAAAGCAGTTCCAAGCACAGTGTTAACACTGTTTTGGATAAACCACACGACTGAAATGGGGGGCTCAGTAGAATTGGTTTTAGAGATTATTAGAGATTATTGTACATATACTTTATACTAGGACTGTATTCCTGTACTCTGAATTCACTGAAGCTGGAAACTGGAGCCATGTGAAATTTGCATTCTTACAGACATTAGTATATAATTCACCTGTCACTTTATTAGTACTTAAAGCAATAATATGGGTTTGATTTTCTTTTTTTTCAAAAACCCATTCAAATTATTGCTTTGTTACCTTTTCTTAATAAAACAGTAAATTGAGATTCTTTCTTACAGATTTTAAGTGACCAAAACAAAGCATTACAATTAGAAGTTCAGAAGCTACAGACTCTTGTTTCTGAACAGGTAAGGCTTTTCATGAGTTACAAGGTAGAAATATCCAATACAGAACAAGATCTGCTGCTTCTTAAATAGTAACCAATTCACTTATTTTGAAAAATTCTGCTTGACTATAGATATGTCTTTTAATTGCATTTCTATTCTTCTTGTGCTTATCAAATATCTAAGCTAAGGAAAATATAATTTTTCTTCCCGAAAGGAAGTTAATACTAACATGTTTATAAGTACCCCTATCCCGAAAAGAAAGAAAAGTGTAATAGGATCCATAAAAATAACTTTTTAAGTAATTTTGATACATTTGGCTCTCAAGATAAAAGTCCTTAGACTTGGAGCCTCACTTTCTCTAAGGCAGCATGATTTCGTAAAAAGAGAATGGGTTTGAAACCTAATACCAGCACTTAAAGCAGAATGATGTTTGTCAAATTGTTTAACCGTTCTGACACATCTCATTCCAAGTCTTTCACATTTTATTTACATCATAAACTTGGTAGATTTAAATGATGAAGTTTATGTATAGTGCTTAGCCTAATGCTTTGTATATAGCAGGCATCTTAAACCTTAATATCTTTACCTTAGAATATTTATTTTTTCCATCTCATTTCCATCCCCTACTGCCATCATATGTTTTTCTATAATTTATAGCAAGCCATCAAAAGTATAGTAGCCTGAATAAGCTTGGCTCCATAAACTAAAGCCCTAGGCAACATCCATCTTATGCCTGTTCCTGAGAGTTGCCTTCATACTCCTACACAACTCTTCAGATTTCAGTTTTAAAAAATATTCTAGAAACTCTTGGTATTAGGTGACACATTAAAATAGAAGCTTTGCATGTGTTTCTAATTTTTAGAACCCACTTTTATTAGAAACTGAAATGTAAGTTATTGCAAATGATAGCACTGCCTTCAGCAGGTACATGCTTGCTTTTTTATTTTAAAATTCACATTTATACAGGTATTGAATTGGTGTAAGTAGCTGTGCCAAATACTGTAGAAGTATTTTGGAAGTATTTTGTTAATATCTGTATATTCGGCAAGAGATAATCCACTTAATTTTCTCCTTTCAATATGATATTAAGTACTTTGCTTAATCTTTATTACTTTGTATATTCTTTATCCCTGAAAACTAAAGTTAATAGAAGAGAAAATTCTGAACATATGATACTTAGTGCAGGAATATGACTTTATTCCTCTATAAACCTAAAATATGGGACAACGGTTGTAAAATATTATTGAAATAACAACTTTTAGCACAAGATGGATTATTTTAATGAATAATAGTTTTATAAAGTTTTTAAATAGTCCACAGAACAAAATTTCATAGTCACACTTTTAAAATTTATTTAAAAGAATTATTTGATAAGAGTGGAAACTCATTTTATGGTACTAGCTTAAGACTTGCTCTTTGATAATTCTTAGAATTTTTCTCTTGTTCAGAAAGCTCTCTCTGTTTTTTACTTTAAAATATTATAGAAAGCATATGACCAGTGTTACATTTTTGGTTGTAGTTCTGACTTACCTGTCTCATCTTGGTGGACCAAAGAACCATCTCTTTGACCTTTTCCTCTGGTCATTTCTTTTCTGTTGCTAATAGAAGAAGAGATAAAGATTAGTATAATTCTTGTTTTCATTTTCACCTTTCTTTAACCCCTTCCTGCCCAGCATTCCGAATTCCAAGTGACAGTTGAGAGATGAACAGTTCAGTTATTTAAAAAAATAACTTAGTGCTTTTGCCCCATGAACTTTTATCCTGAAGGAAAAGATTGAGCTTATTTAAGCAGAAACCAACAATGGTGCCAGGTTGTTGTTTTTTAAGGTGTAGGAAGCAGAAAGACAACAGGTACCAGGTAAGGTAACCTGTTTATACACTAAAGAAATGAAAGCTCCATTTGGATGTCAGCCTGTGGAAAGATGATGCAAATAAATCAGTTACAAAATCTCATTTAGTCAGAATAAAATAAAACTTTGGGGGGGGGGTGAGGGTTCTTAGCTGTCCCTTTTTTTGAGCATATTGACTTTTTAGCAAGGGAGTAGCACAACTTTTTATTTTATTCTAGTAGGTTTTTAAGATTCAGTTATCAAGATTATTAAGTAAAAACTATATGGGAGTAGGAAGTTTTTTTCTCTTTCCCTTGCTGCCTGGTCATTTTTTTTCTTTTTCCTGTTTTCAGTTGTTTCTTTTTTTAAAAAAATTTATTGTTGAGAGTATTACAGATGTGTGATTGTATTTTATTGCAGAAGTATTCATTATCATTTAAGATGTAGTTTCAAAAATCATCTAGAAAGGAAAAAAACTGGATTAGATTACACCAATAATGTATAAAGTAAAAATGTTGGATAGATGCTAAGCTGCGTCAGTTTTGTACAATTGAATATTGAATGAGCAGTTGACCAAGAGTACTTATTAAACTGTGACCTCCTTTAAGGAAATTTCAACTTATTAATGGAGTACATACTAGGAACTATGTTACATGCTAAGGCTACAGAGATGAATGAGACTTGGTTCCTGTCCTCAAGAATATGGTTTAGTGTGGAGATAGGTATATAACACAGAAAAGTGCGATGAATAAAATTCTTGAACTGTGTGTACAGGTTAGGAGGAAGAGATAATGAATTCTATTGGAAGGAGAGGGTGAAGATGCACAGAGAAGAGGGGGCAGCTAAACCTGATTTTGAAAAATGGCCATGAATTTGCCAAACAGTTAAGGAGCAATCCAGGCCGAGGGGATTCAGTGTTAAATGTCATGGCAGTATATGGTAAAATTGGTATATTTAGAGCATATTATAGAAGTGCAAAGTATGAGGTGTAAGGAGGAGAGAGTCAGTAGGGCCTTATCATGGGGAACTTTGTATGCTGTGTAAGGACCTGAACTTGATTTAGCATGTAGGTATGCGTTTGAAGGGTGCTGCAAGAATAAGCGTTTTGTCTAGCATTTTAGATAGATCACGCTGGTGACAGTGAGGTGTTTGAATTTATTTAGGGGAGAAGTAAAATACAACTGAGTGGTTAAGGTGCAGTTAAGTTGGACTTAATAGTGGTGTCTTTTCTTTCAGTCCTCATCCAGGGACATGCTTTTCATTGGCTCTAGAGAGAGAGGAAGGGAGAGGGAGAGAGATACTGATGTGAGAGAGAAACATCTATCAGTTGCCTCCTGTATATGACCCTACAGGGATTGAACCTGCAACCCAGGTACATGCCCTGACCAGGAATCGAACCCGTGACCCTTTAGTTGGTGCACGGGATGATGTTCTGACCAACTGAGCCACACCTGCCAGGGTTGTCTTTTTCTTTTTTAATTGAGCTTTAATTGACACTAATGTTATATACAACATAATGATTTGATATTTGTGTATATTGTTAAATGATCACCACTATAAGTGTGGTTAGCATCTGTCACCATGCATAGTTACAAACTTTGTGTTAAGTCTTTATGTGAGATGGTATTCATTAGAAATAAAGATGGACAAAAACCATCTTAATGAAAAATTTGTAAACTTACTGCATAATTTATTTTTCACAGTTTATAAACCTGATTTAATATACTTTTGACAGCTCTTATCTCCTTTGTGTTGGTAGGACAATTTTCCCATTTGGAAGTTCTTTCTGTACACCTCAAAATAATCCTTATGGACTAGAGGCAGGGAGGAAGATTAGGGTATTGTGATAGTTGAGAACAGTAAAGCTGAGAGCCTCGCCTAGGGCATAGAAGAAAAAGGGTTAATTTTAGAAATATGTAAGAAGTAGAACCTTGGGATTTGGATTTGGCATGGAAAATTAATAGTGTTCATGAAAAATGGTTGTAATAACATTGGGAAAAAATTAAGAAACTAGAGAAATTAGGAGAGAGCAGGTAGAGATGGGTGGAAGACAATGTTAAAGAAAAAAAGTCCCTAAACCTGTTTTTTCATGGTGCCTAGCTGCCTGTAGGCCTGGGGATGCTGAGCCAAAGCCCTGCTTCTGGACACAATAAATGATGACCGTGGGGAATTTTTTGTGTGTGGGAGGATGGCAGGAGGGAGGCCAGTGGCAGGGGTCAACTTACATGTAATGGTGGGTGTTTTTTTCTTTCTCAAATATGTGTTTTTTTTTGTTTTGTTTTTTAAATAAAAGGATTTTAGAGAGAGAGAGAGGGAGAGAGAAACAGCAATGTGAGAGAAACATTGGATTGATTGCCTCCCGCATGTACCCCGACTGGGACCGAACCCGCAACCTGAGTACGTGCCCTGACTGGGAATTGAAGTCCCGACCTTTTGGTGCATGGGTTTATGCTCAACCAACTGAGCCCCACCAGCCAGGGCTACATGTCATATTTTAATGCTTTATAAGAAGTATGTGATAATATATTGCTTCTGCAATTTATAATAAATTCTATATATTGGTCTGAATAGTAGTTATATAACCATCTATGTGCTAAAAATTCCTTTAGTTGTACATAGGATTTTTTTAACTTGCCTATATAAATGTTATACCTTAGTTTTAAAAGTTAAAAAAATTACATTTATAGAAAGAAAGAACAAAGCCTCCTTTCTTGGCCTTCGAGGCCTTAGAACCTTTGATTTTTTTTTTTTTTATATATATGAAGAATTGAATTAATTAATGTAATGGAACTAAGGCACATTCCCTTCTTATCCTTAAGATTTTCTTATGTAGTAATTAAAGAATTATAACATACTAACTTCACTAGCCCATTTTATATTTCATATTTTCTATCTTGTGTAGCTGCTTCTCTTCTGTCTTGTGTTTGGTAAATTAATTCTTTAATTAGCATTTTTCAAATATGGGTCATCTTCCTTAATTTTGGATTTAATTAAAACTAAGTCATTTTCATAGAATTCTATTTCTAAACTAATTTTACCTCATGCAGACTTGGTAAATTAAACTCTTTTTGGTGGTTTTAATTTTAGCCTAATAAAGATGTTGTGGAACAAATGGAAAAATGGTGAGTTTAAAATTTTATTTTCATATTTTAATGACTCAGTTCTACCAAATTTGAGATATCAGAATTTTAACTATATTAATTTAGATTCTCAAAATTCTTTTTGTATTTCACAATGGAAGAGAGTGATATGCTATTGATTGACTTGATTTGGGATTACATTAGGCTTGTGGGTGTCGTGTGTGGCAGTGATTTACTTGTTTAGGCTAGTATGTAAACATGCATTACTTGAACACATTTTACGTATTGGTTAAGAAGTAGTACCCTTAGACCATAATCAGAGATCCTCAGAAATGTTTCTAGAATTAAATTTTATAAGGAACAATGGACACAGGAGTTAATCCATGTAAAATATTTATGAATGATATAATTCATTTACCTTGAAAAATAGTTCATACATATGTTTTAAATTTATAATTTCAGCATTCAAGAAAAAGATGAGAAGTTGAAGACCGTGGAAGAATTACTTGAAACTGGCCTTATTCAGGTGGCCACTAAAGAAGAGGAACTGAATGTAAAGCGCTTTTAGATTTGTTTTCCTTGTGGTTATTTGGTGAAGGGGTTTCACTGTAACTCATTTAAGATTTTCCCCATAGCTTTTAAACTGCATGGGAGTTACCCACATTTTATGACATGATTTTTTTCATGAAATTTAAGATTTTATTAGAAATACAAAAATGCATAGTTGATTATAGCATTCACTGCCTTAGTGAAGTAGACACTATTGTTATGGTTTGTAAAATATGCTTCCCCACCTCCACTCATGCTCAAATTATAACCAACAAAAACTAGCAGACTTCATAAGTTCATCAAATAGTATTGGAGACCAGAGAAAGGAGAGATTGTAGTTCTATTTTATGATTATCATAACTAACTTGAGTAGAATAGATAGGGTTGCTGGAAGAAATAACTTAAAAGATGTATTTGAGTTTAGGGTGACCTGTGATATGCTATGTGGTTGTGTGGTTGTGGAAACATAAATAGAAATACTTGTGGGGATTGAATTAAAAATGTATTTGGCTAGCGCTGGAAGTTATAGAATTGTAGACATATGGAAGAAGTGGGATTTCTGGGCCTTCCAGAGAGAAAAAGGAGCAGCTAAAGAAAAATAAGAAGTTAGTTTATTTTGAAGCTATTTTTTTTCAGAAAATAAAACTATGATCTGCTTATGTGTCTTTGAAAAAGGCAATAAGAACAGAAAATTCATCTTTGACAAAAGAAGTTCAAGACTTAAAGGCTAAGCAAAATGATCAGGTAATGTATTCAGTAGATCTTGCAACCATTTTCTTTTAAACAATGGACAGACCTGTTACATTCAAACATAACAAGCCTGTTGTGTGTCTGTTCATCCCTTCTCCAAAGTGGAATTTGTCAATTACATTTTTAATCTGTGAATGATTAGTGATTTAATTGTCATTAACAGAAACAGCAATTTATTGGATGCTATCTATGTTCCAAGTACTAGGTAGAGTAGTCTAGGTAGGAGGTCATTGCTTTTTATGACAGTGATAAAAGGTTTGAGTATACAAACAGAAAGTGAGACTCTAAATAATAGTTGAAAGGGGCTACTTAAAATTAGGTAATTTTTTTAGTTATATTTTCTTTTTATCTAGTTAGAATTATTCAGTAATTTTAACATTTATGTGTTGATTTTTCTTTTGGCCTACACTTTCCATAAGTAGCCTTAAAGCAGCTTACTTTCAAAATGCTTTTCCTTTTCATAATTATGACATTGAAATCTAGTAAAAATTAATTCCTGAGTTTACTTTTCCCAGTTGGATTTTGGGGTAGTGGAAAATTTAAGAATAACATACTTTTCTGTTTCTGACCCATTCATATTTTGCGTAAATTACTAACTAGGATGCCTTCCTATTTCCAGGTTTCTTTTGCATCTCTAGTTGAAGAACTTAAGAAAGTGTAAGTAGTAACATTATTTAATTGGTCTTCCTCTTTTGGCCTTTTTGCTTAGTGCTGATAAATCTTATTTTATTGTGCAATTGAGATAATGATGTATGTTAGTTTAACTTTCACTCTAGAATTTTTTATTGATCAAATAAGCTGTGATTTCCCCAGTACAACGTGATTGTTAAAAAAATTTATTTCCATGATTGATTCCATTTATTTTCTTAACTTACAGCATTGAATTGTTAATTTTCTGTTTCTGTGGTAGAAACTATCAGAGAATAGGTTTTATGGGATGGGAAGATACGTTCCTTGCTTGTATCCTGTTTCTGAGATGTCTAGCACGTTTGAGCCATGATTGCGTATAAGTTCTGTCACAGCTTTTGCAGCCCTAGAAGCCGGTATTGTGGAGAGGAACTTGATTCTCTCTGCTCTTCTTCTGGGTACAATTCTTATATTCTCTGTGTACTTAAAAAAAATAAATTAATATTTCTATTGATTTTAGAGAGAGAGGAAGGGAGAAGGATTAGTGAGATAGAAAAATTGATGGGCAGCCTCCTGCACGCCCCCTACTGGGGATGGAGTCTGAAACCTCGGCATGTGTCCTCACCGGGAATTGAACCAGTGACCTCTCTGTTCATGGGGTGATGCTCAACCACTGAGCAACACCGGCCAGGCCTCTGAGTACTTTTGAAGTATGTCACCAGCTTCTCCTTATGTGCATAGGCTTCAGTCATCTGGTAGTTACTGATTATTTCTCACTTAGAAAGAACTTGAAGTATTATTTCCACCTTCTGTCTGATATATTGCTAATTTATTTAATTGAGGAGAATTCATTTCGTGAGCTTATTCATGATTTGGTGCCATTCTTAGTTGGTGATTTCTATTCAAGTTTAATACTACATTTCTTTAAGAATCCATGAAAAAGATGGAAAGATCAAGTCTGTGGAAGAGCTTCTGGAAGCTGAACTTCTCAAAGTTGCTAATAAGGAGAAAACGATTCAGGTATTGGGAGAGGGAAAACTGTGTTTTTTTTGTTTATCAACTTCAGTGAATACCATTTAATTTCATGTGTTCGTCTGTACCTTGCATTTTATGTCAATTTCTGTGTTTCCATTGTCCAATCTTGTCTGTTTTGTCATTGTCAAGGATTTGAAACAGGAAATAGAGGCTCTAAAAGAAGAAATAGGAAATGTCCAGCTTGAAAAGGCTCAACAGGTAAAAATCCCAGAGCCATAGCATGACAGATTTGTTAGTGTATTTGTATTTATGAGCTATTTGTTTTTTTCTTGTTACTTGGAAAAAAACCTCTTAGTAGTGTGATGTAAGTATATTGGGTTATGTGTTTTTTAATTTTTTTGCCTGATTTGAGAAAGGGTTCTTGATACTTTAATCAATGTATCTTTGAACTGTTAAAGATATATTTTTAGAAAGTTTTCTGTATTAATGTTTCATTTTAGTTTGCCAACACAAAACACTGGTAAATCTTTTTTTAACTTTTTTCTTAACTGCATGGACTGTAATGTTTGGTTATAGAATATGTGTTGGTCAACCTTTGACTTTAGAACAAAGTACAGATTTCATATTTCAGAGGTAAAAATCGTTACTGAAAATAGATGAGTTTGGGTGAATTTAATCTGATAAGGCTTCATTGAAAAAATGGTGAGATTGCATGGAAGAGATGATTCACTCATTCATCTAATAGATTCATTCAACAATATTTTTTGAGTTCCTCCTCCTTGTCAAAGCAATATGTTAGTGATTGAAGGTAATGTGTTGAATGAAATGGGGTAGGATGAAAAGGCAAAACTCCTCTAAAGATGGATTGAGAGATCAGGAAAGTTTCTTCTGGAGGAATTAATATCTAAGCCAAGATCTGAAGGGACTCTAGGGGATAAAAGGTACTATAGAACTGTGTATGATAAGAAAATGAGATTAAAGAGGGATCCTATAGAATGCTGTTCAGTTGTTGGCCTTGAAGACTGGGAAAGAAGAGCTCTTATGTGGTAGGGAGGTAAGTGGGCAGTTTAATGTTCTGTTTTCACAATTACAGAAGTATGCCATTATTTAGACTTCCTTATTATTCATACCTATATTCCTTGCCACTACCTGCCCTCCTCCCTTGTATTTTTAATTTGTTACTCATACTGTGTCATTGGAATCGAGATGACAGAATCAAAATGCATGTCATTTTGGCATGAATAATTCAGCTAGGATCTTTATAATTTGGAATGGATCTATTTTCAAGTTTATCATAAAGCTTTAATAAGGTAAGTTGAGAGGATTATGAATGCTTTTTCTCTGTTTTTTTCTTTGTATTTCAGTTATCTATCACTTCTCAAGTTCAGGAGCTTCAGAACTTGTAAGGACCATTTCTTTCATTTGCCTTTAATATTTCTTTTCAACAAGTTAAATACAATTATAACAAAAATCATAGCTTCTTTCTATTTGATTTCAAGTAATATTTTAGGGGATATCAAATTATACTTCAAAAGGCCTTAAGATCTTATGGTTTCATTAGGATTTAACATATAAGGTGGTTGTTTTTTTTTTATATAGTAATGGGAATAGAGTGGGAAGTTTTATTTTTCATGATTTATAATCTGAATATGACCTTAAATTGAGATGATGATCTTTGCTCATTTTCATAGCCACTGTGAAACTGGTCATATATTTCATACTCAAACTAGTTGTAGTAAGCTGTCTAAATTTGCTGGTATTGACTTAAACAGCATGATATGGGGTGGGACTAATAGATGCCCTAATTTATTGAATATCTGGCTCTTCAGTGGTTGATGGACTTAATCATCCGCTGCTTTTTAATTTGATATCTCCAATGTCTTGTATACTTTTATACTTAAAATGTTTACTTTTAAATTTATGTAAATTAGTTTGGGCTATAAACACGACCTAAACTATACATTTCTAGTCTCCATTATTTTTGCTTTGTGTAGTAATGTAACGTTTTCATTGATAATTCTTCTTAACTTACTGTCAGATTAAAAGGAAAGGAGGAACAGATGAATACCATGAAGACTGCTTTAGAAGAGAAGGAGAAAGATCTAGCCAATAGAGGGAAACGGTTACAGGTGAGAAGATAAAGACGAAGTAAACGCCTCTTTTTATACTTGACATTCACTTCACTTCACTTCACTTCACACCTATTCTTTTTCAGGATCTTCAAGAAGAAAATGAATCTTTAAAGGCTCATGTTCAAGAGGTAGCACAACATAACTTGAAAGAGGTATAGTATAACAGATTATCAGCTATTACATATAAATGAGAAATTTTTATTTTACTGTAATAGAAAGCAAAGAAGGTATTATTGTCTCTGAGTTTCTTTGCTTTAAAAATTATTGTTGTAAAACTCGTAGACACAGACAATAGTATAGTAGTTACCAGAGGGAAGAAGATTTGACTTTGGGTGGTGGGCACATAATGCAGTATACAGATGACATGTCATAGAATTGTACACTCAAAACCTATATGACCTTATTAACTAATGTCACCCCACTAAATTTAATTTTTAAAAAATTGATAGGCTTTATGACATTACTGATGTGGAATCTGAAATAATTCAATATTGATTAATAAAGATGTGTTTTTAACCCTTAAACAAAAATTATTGTTGTACCATAGTTTTGTTGTTGATAAAATAAGTTAACTTTTATCCCTGTCAGGTCTGTTACTGCTTGATTTGTCAACCTAAGCCTAAAGGAATTTCTGTATTTACATTTTCAGGTGGACTCTTATGCTCATCCTTAAGTGTTTATGTTTAATTGGTTTATTAATCTGTAATCCTTTAAAGAAATGGATATTAAAAATTACATTAGAACTTCGTAATTTTTAATTAATTCTTCTGTAAATGTTACTCTAAAACATGTCAATAAAAAAATAAAAAAGCAAAATCTATGAGGAAAATTAAGTTTAAGAAAATTCATTCTGTCTTTGTTTTATAAATGGCTCAATTTTAAATTTACTACATATAATTATGTTTTTATTTTATTGATGAGGTATTCTATATATATGTATGTTATAGTACCTAATCTTTTTGATTGATAGAATTAAAAATGTGAATCTGTTTCTTAGGCATGTTCTGCGTCACGACTTGAAGAACTTGAGACTGTGTAAGTATACTTTCAGCCAGTATTTTAAAGAGAAAGTTCTCATTATTTTCCAGAATGTGCTTGAATATTGTAATAAGTTTCTTCTAAGTCATTAACTTTCTGGGTAAGTAGGAATTTTAGTCCAGAGACAAATGAGTGAATTCTCTGCTTGGTATAATAAAACATGGGCCCTTTATTTTCAGATAGCTGGAGACTTTATTCTTTCCAGACCCCTTAAACCCGTTTTCTGAACTACTCTTTCTGCTTAGTGTAGACTGGTTTTAAGTATTTGTTTGTTTTTAAACAAAGTATGCAATTATTATTGTAAAGAGAAGTAAGAATTATTTCAAATTAAAATTATTTTAGTATTTGAAAGAATAATATATTTTAATTAACCAGATGATAATTTTGACCATAATCTTGATAATGAATATTGACTGTCTATAAAAGTAACTTGCTTACTGGGGAAAATGGTATCTGTTGTCATATCAGTTATGCTGTGCACAGTAGTAAAAATATTGAATCTGATTAGGAAGTATCAGTCTTTGGAGCTGTTTATCTCAGAAAGTTTTTTATCCTATAAAGTCAGTTGTCTTAAACTAAATCAGTTTACACTGGTGAGAAGGGTATCTGGACTTTACCTTTTTGGTCCCCTATAGAAAAGGAATTCTAGAGGGGATTTTGCTTTGAGATGATATCAGTCTTCATTGATGTTTAAGAAGTGGCCTAATAATCTGTGTCTTTAAAAGTAGGATATAGAGGATCTTTATTGAAGTCATTGTCTTTAGTAAGACAAAGGGGATGTCTTTCTTCTTGGCACTAAGATTGCTCATTTGTGCAACTAATTGTTTATCTTGGAGGCATTGTGTAACTGTCCAGGTGCTTTTGTCACATTTGCTAATGGGAAGATTAGAGACACATTTGTGGCCTATTTGAAGTAGGTATACAGATCATTAAAGTATGTGATTTTAGATTTATTTCTGCCTCACACTTTTTTTTATTATTAGTAGAATATTTTTTAAGTGGAGCAGTTTTAGGTTTACATAAAAAATTGAAAGAAAAGTAGAGACTTCCAATATACTCCCTTCCATATCCCTAATTATTTACATCTTGTATTAGCGTGAAGTACATTTGTTACAATTGATGAACCATTATTGATATATTGTTATTAACTAAAGTTCATAGTTCCCATTAGGGTTCATTCTTTGTCTTGTACACTCTATGAGTTTTGAAGAATGTATAATAACGTGTATCCATCATTATAGTGCCATTAAGAAATAGTTTAGCCGTCCTAAAAATCTCCTGTGTTCCAACTATACCTCCCTTCCTCCTCATCTCCTCCCCACTCCCCAATCCTTAGAAACCACTGAGCTTTTTACTGCCTCCATAATTTCACCTTTTCTAGAAATGCCATATAATTTGAATCCATCAGTATATATCCTTTTCAGAGTGGCTTCTTTCACTTAGTAATATGTACTTAAGATTTGTTGTTCCTTTTCAGTTTTTAATCTCACTCTTCGAGTATGCTTTTTTGGTTATTCTTCAGGTAGACCTATAAACATGTTGAAATTCTAGATTAAGGTGGGATAAAAATAACATTCAACTCAGCAAATATTTGAGAGCCTATTATGTGCCCTCTAGCACTGGGAATACTGAAATTGTTAAAATGGGTTCCTGCCCTGAGGAAATACATAGTTAAACAGATCATTTAATAGCGTTAAATGTTGTGCTAGAGAGGTCTGTGTTTAGAATGACAAAAGCAGTTGGAATTCACTTGGGCTATATATATAGTAATGTTACCAGGACAGCCCCCCTGAGTCTGGGGGAAGACCTCTCTGCTCCTTGGCTCTTGTCAATCTCGAAAGAAGGATTTTAGGACAGACAGCAGTGTTGAAACAAAGCAAGCAAATTTACTAAGAATACATTTGACATAAAGCACAAGCGGGCAACTCAGCTAGTCTCAGCACGCGCCCGTGCGGGTTCAAGTGGTTTTATACCCTTTCCCCTATAGGTTTCAAAGTTCCCCTGCTGGATATCTTGGGTAGCAGACTAGGTTTCTAAGTCCCCTTCTACACTGATGTAACTTATCTCAGAATGTTTGAGATTCTAACCCCCCTTCTTGTCCCCTTCCCCCCCTTTCCTACCCTGATATCCCCCAAGTGATATTTGTTCTTGGGTTCAGCTGGCACAAATGGCACTATTTGGGTCTTTGTTCTCTGTTCTCTCAGGCCAGGGTGATTTAAGCCATGCATTCTCTGGTTGGGGAGGAGAAGTAGAAACCATTTGCTCTCAAGTGCCCTTGGTTGCGGAGGATAAGGTCTTGCGATTCACAGGCTGGCAGCAAGCTGCCCAAACTGTTTGGCCTTGTTTAATTTTCTTTTCTCAGTTTCCCCATTCCACTTGCCCAGGGATTTTCCTAGCTTCTTACTATTCTGCCACAGTAAACCATATCTTTGTTGGATTAGGGAGAACCAGATTAAATTATATGTAGCCTCTCTTCAGTACAAAGGGTTGGGAGTAAAGTTTTAGGGTCAACAACTAAATATGACTTTTGTTTTAGATTTACCTGCTAGATAAAGCCATACTTGCCTAAGAACTGTTAAATATGAAGTAAATTGTAGCAGTGTTAGGATGTACCTGACTTTGAGTTGAATAATTCTGGAAATAATTGTCTTTTAAAACAAATGTATAAATTGGTGTAATATGGGAAGAAAGCTGTTAGGCACTGTTTCTGCCATCTTTTTTTATCTTACAGCTGTATTGGCGTCTGTCCTTTTTTATGTATATAACTAAATATAAGGTATTTGTAAAACTTCTAGGTTGAAAGAAAAGGAAAATGAAATGAAGAGAGTGGAAAGTATGCTAAAAGAGAGGGAGAGTGATCTTTCTAGCAAAACAAAGCTGATACAGGTGAATATGTTTCCTTAAAATTAATTATTGTGTGAATTATTGTCTGCATGTTTTCAAAAACAATTTTAATTGCTACAAAAGAAAGCAATACAGAATAACTCTCCCTCTCACCCAGCTACCTATTCCTCAAAGATAGCTTACTGTCATTCATTTGTATATCTTTTGAGAATGTGCCCATGCATGTGTGTATATACTTAATTGTTTTTTATATTTAATCATACATACTTTTGTATTTTGCTCCCTTCCTCCATTTAATAATATTTTTGAGATCTTTTCACATAAGCACATTTCTATCTTTCATTTTTAATGGCTTCATAGTATTTTGTTGTACTGTTGTATCATTGTAGTTTATGATACCTGGATTATTTACAGTTTTGTTTCTTGTTACAGCAGTTCTATAGTGGATATTCTTGCACACACATTTTCAGTACTTACGCTAGTATATCTGTACCTAAAATTTCTAGATGTGAAATTGGGTGGTCAAAGGTTTACGCAGAGTTATTTTTCTTTCCTTTTTGAAAGAGATAGTTAAAATAGAAAATAAGTATATCCTCACCATGGATAGTTAATATAAAAGTACTTACAGAACATTCATTTGAAGTGATAGCAAATTTTAGATTCCTGCATTGTCTCTGACTACTCTTGTTCTTATTTTTTTCTCCAGTTGTTGGTTCTGTCAAGTTCCCTCTCCCTCCCAAGTATATTAATTTTAAGTTTGTTAGATAATGCTAAATCATCTTCCAAAAGTATTTTTACTGATTTACATTTTCACCAACTGAGGGCCATTTTCTTTTCATCTTCTCCAACACTGACAAAGATGAAGACATTTGGTCTTGTGCTTGGTAGATGGTCAGATTGTTTCAGTTTGCATTTGATTGTGAGAGAAGTTAAGTACTTTCCCTTTGTATATGAATTGGCCTTTAATTTTTCCCACATTTTTTCTCCAGGTTAACTTACTAATTTATAAGATCCCTTTTAACGTATAAGGGAAATTAGTCTTGTCATATGTGAGGTCATTTGTTCTCTTTAAGTTTTTATTTTGACTTCTTTTGTGTTTTCCCCCCTTATGGAAATTTAAAACTTTTATATACTCCAATATAAGTAATTTTTTGAGTTTTAAGTCTTGAGATGAAAGGTATCCCTCATGCTATGATCATAAAAATATATTTACATGTTTCTTCTAATACATTTATGATTTATTTTTTGTTTAGATAGTTTATTCATGCATACTTTGAGTAAGTTATGAGAATAACATTTCAACTGAAAAAAAAGAAGGCTAACCATATTATTAATAATCCATGATTATTTTACCGAAGTAGTTCTGCCCCCCCACACCCCCAGACATTTAGCAATATCTGGGGACATTTTTGGTTGCCATAGCTAGTGGAGGCCTGCTCCTGCACCTAGTGGATGGAGACCATGGATACTGCTAAACATCATACAGTATGTGGGATAGTCCCCCATGACAACATAATAGCCCAAAATATCACTGGAATTTATCTCACTGGTTTGAAATGTCACCCTATACTGAATTCTTACAGGTATTTGGGTCTGTTTCTGGGTCCCATTTTCTTCCATTGAGACATATCCACTTCTATGCTAGTACTAAGTAATTTAATTATTCTAATTTTATAATTAGGGCTTATTATATCCCTTTAAAATTATTACTATTTTAGAATTTTCCTGTCTTGTATGATATGTGTCAAAAATTGATATGGAAAATCAAAATCTCTGTCCAGGTATTGATGTTTAATTTTTGTTTAAATAGGAGGTACAAGATGAAAACAAATTGTTTAAATCCCAAATTGAACAGCTTAAGCAACAGAACTACCAACAGGTAGGTACTATTAGATGGCTTGCCATTTATTTATGTGGTGAAACATTATATAACCCATGATGGTGTGTAAGCATTCTTACCATTTTACCTTTTCATTGAGAATAAAGTATGTGTTGTTTTTATTTACAAGTGTTTATCAAAGTTCCTGAAAAACAAAGCAGTTTGCTATGCCATATCCAATATAAAATCTACAATTTAATTTATAAAGTATACACAAGTAATATTGATCTGTATTCCAGGTCTGTTATGTATCTCTGTGTGTGTTTTCAGATCTAGCATACCTTTTTTTAGCAAGTCAGTTGAAGTCCTATGAGGTCAGTTTTAACTTTTGTGTATACCCTACCATACCTTACCCCAAACGAAACATCAATAATTAAAAACTAAGAAATGTGTAATAGTATAAGTAATAGTTTACCACTATTTCAGATACTTTCTTGAGGTATAATTCTGCTTGGTTAAAATAAAAAATAAAAAAATTTTAAAAGATGTTAACAAAATATCCTTAAAATTGATTTATGAACATGTGTTACTGGAGAATCAAACTTCTCCATTGCTCGTGGGAGCGAGGTTCTTGTGATATCTTTAAGAAAATGAATTTTCTAAGATTCATACAGGAGAATGAGATGTGGAAAAAGGCTTTATTTGCATGAAGGCACATTTCTTGGGTTCCAAAGTCCCCTGCCCCTTAAGCCAGTCCAGGAAGAGGTGCACCTGGGGTTCCAGTAGAGCCAAAAGTAGGGCCAATGTCCAGAATGTCCACTCCATGGTGCAGCTGGGTGTGGTTCATCATTCAAGTCCAATTAAAGTCCTGTACTCCATTGTGGAGTCCCACAGGACAGTGAGCCACACGGGCATAGGGGAGCACAGCCTCCTGCAAACGGAGTCCCAGGAGCCCTGTGCCCTGGAGCCAAGACAGCAAAAACCAAGAGAGGGAGCTGCTTTGTCTAGATGCTTATATATTCAGGTTTTTTCGTGCTTGCAGTGGCCACACCCATCCTGGCCACTAATTTGTTCCCAGGTGTGATTGATGGGAAACGACCTTCCCACATCACTCAGATCTTACTGGGCATGCATCTTAACTGCCTTTTCCCAGTCCTTTCTCCCATCAATGAGTGGGGAACACACTTGGACAATGTTAAATGCAGCATTTTGGCAAAGCTGTATAAATGGCATGCCTGTATTATCTAGTCTCCCCTTTCTTCCTTTCCTGTTAAATAATAACCAAGTGCCCGGCCGGGCATGGCTCAGCGGTTGAGCTTCGACCTAGGATCCAGGTGATCGGGGTTCAATTTCGGGTCAGGGCACATGCCGGGGTTGTAGGCTCGATCCCCAGTCGGGGGCATGCAGGAGGCAGCTGATCAATGACTCTCTCATTATTGATGTTTCTATCTCTCTCTCCCTTTCCTTTCCTCTCTCTGAAATCAATAAAGATATATTTAAAAAAAAAATTATTAAAAAAAAGCTCTGCTTTCTCCCTAGGGAAGCAGTGAGTACATATATATTTAAAAAAAAAACCAAGTTATTTCAGTGTCATCACATATATGAATAAGCTAGATAATAATTTCAGGGGCAAACAAATTAGTTCCTGTTGACAAGAAGCTTATAGTAGTTTAATTTGAGGTATTTTAGTCATCAAGGAATAAATATATGTGAAGGGCTATATACCTTTATATATTATGTAAAATCAACTTTTTGTTACATGCACGTTAATTCTTCCTAATTTTTCTTTTGGCTTCACTTATGGTATTTTTTTTACTTTTGGAAGCTTAGTGCAGTCAAATAGGAAATACACAGTAAGAAAATTTTAAGGTATTATTAACTTAATGGTCTGCACCTAGTAGGCAATTGATAAATTCTTGTTAAATGAAGAGTTTAAGTATGTAGTAACAATGAAGATTCTATTTAGTACTCAGTACATTTTACAAATTTGTATATGTTTTTATTAAAATTACTTGGTGACATATAGAATGTGTGGTATGTTTACCTTTGGTGTTGTCTTAATTTATGTCTGAGAAGAGTTAATTATTTTAAAGTCTTCTGGAAAGTTTTGTTTTGAAATAACATTTAACTCTTTTTTTAATAGGCATCTTCTTTTTCCCCGCATGAAGAACTATTAAAAGTGTAAGTAATAATTTTGAGTCATAATTTGAGAAGTGGTAACTTTATATGCTAAATAGTTCTAAAACAAACAATTTAATGTAACTGCAAATGGTTACCACATTTTTATAGTTCAATTTGGATTATTTGAACTGCAGATCAGTAGAGCTTAGTTGTGCCTTTGGCTGAACTAGTGTACCTTTTTATGATATTTGGATTTCTTTGAACATTCTATTGAGGGAGATTTTTATTTTATATTTTTTTAGGAATTCAGAAAACATCTAAGAAAATAAACTATACTTTGAAGGCTTTATTTAACTCAAATTATCTCACTTCTTCTATCATTGTGGGATTGAATGATGAAAATTTTGGTTTAGCTTATGCATTTAAAAAAAAGTCTTATATAATCTTTTTGGTGGCTCTCTTTTAAGGAGGCTTCTTTTTTTAACTGAAACTTTTAAAAATTGTTGGCCTGTATTTTTCTCTTAAGAGGTTACACATAAGGTCATTTTAGATAAGTTGGTATATTTCAACATGTTAAATGTCAACCACATTGATTATTAGGAGATATATATTCCATCATGACTTGTTTACAGAGTCAATGGTTTACTAGTTTAGAATTATTTACTGTTAAATTGAGTTTTGAGTTTGACCATATAGAGCAAGGATAGACAAACTTCTATAAATAGCCTGATGAATAGGTGAATATTTTAGGCTCCGTGGGCTACATGGGTCTTTTTATATATATATATATATTTTTTATTTTTATTTTTATTTTTTTAAACAATTCTTTAAAAAGGTAAAATCAGCTCTTGGCTTGAGGACCACACAAAAACAGATGAGGGGTCAGGCCCTGAGCCCTAGGTTGCCAACCCTGTATGTACAGCTTTAGTCTCAGGGAAGAGCTATTTGTAATTTAACTTCCTACTTGCTCTTCCCTCCACTATAACAGAATGGAATTGTGAGTCTTTGCCATTGCTTTCTACATTTCTGGGAAATAACTAACTCATCAGACAGAACCAGTAGAGCAGGAACCTCGAGACTGTTATGAAAATTATAAGGAAACACCTCCCTTACATTAATAGCATACTTTTATTGTGGGTTAGCCACTTTAAGATAAACTCACAACTGATTTTATTACCTTCTGGAGAAAAGTACTGTATTTAAGAGAGTGCTTCTGCATCAGTTTCACTCTCCTCCCCTCCCCCTTTTTCCCCCCTTCTCCTCCTCCTCCCTTCTCCCTCCTTCTCCTCTCTTCTCCTCCTCCCTTCTTCTTCTTCTTCTTTTTTAGTTACTCTTCACCTGGATATTTTTCCATTGTTTTTCAGAGAGAGTGGAATGGAAGGCGGGGGGAGAAGGAGAGAGAGAGAAAAAGAGAGAGAAACAACAGTGTGAGAGAGACACATCGATTAGTTGCCTTCTGCACATGCCCCAACCAGGGGCAGGGAGCGAACCTGCATCCCAGATATTTGTCCTTGCCCGGGAATCAAATCCTTGACCCATTGGTGCGTGGGCCAACGCTCTACCCAGAGTCATACTGGCCAGGGCAAATTTCATTCTTCTGAAAATACAGTAAACCCTTGATTTTACATGAAAATTAATACCCTGCTAATTTTAAAACACATTTAACCAAGATTTGCTTATAATTAAATTAACAGGTTATTTTTTTTGTTATTAATGCACTGTTATTTTTAACAAATTTTAGCAATAGGCTATATGTTGGTAAAAACACTAGTAATTTCGCCGACATAAATAACATATCTACAACTATAGTCTACATATTTAAATCCAAGAATCACTGCTTGTAAACAATGTTTGGTAAATGATTAGCACCTGATTGCACCTCATTGCATGCGGTAATGGGTTCTATTGTCACATGGTGTGACTTTCTGCAGCAGTTTTAATGCTGTCCGATGTTCCCATATGCACTAAGCCAAGCCCCAGTCGTGTGCATTTGTTTACTTTTGGTGACTGGTGAATGCATGCATTTACTAGACCTATTTAGTATAAGTTTAAAATTATAGTAATATATATATAGAAAACTTTCCTGTGAAATTGAACTTTTTATACATACTTAATTTTAATTACACAAATGTATCTACTTAAGTAAAACAGGTAAACTAACGAATTTGTCAATTTTTTAACATGCATTCGGAAAACCTACTTTATTATATAATGGACATTAGGCTTTGATGGACACCCCTTTCCTAAATTAGTTATATTGAGGTTTTACCACTACTTCACTATAGATAAAAATAGAAATAACTACAACTACAGCAGTTTATGTATTCATGAACTATTTTTTAGGAGTTTATATTACTTCAACACAAATCTCAGCATGTCATATTGTAAAAATTTATTTTAAAAATTATTTCTGAAATGAATTCATAGATGGGCTTTCTACAGTAACAGTAGCTGAGCTTAAAGAGTTTGCCTATTAAGTGAATACATTTTTTTAAAGCATCATTTACTTGCTGTTTTTATTTTGTAGTAACAAATATTACAGTCACTGTTTACCTAAAATTTTGCTGTGTGTATTCATGTTCTGGTTTAGAATTTCAGAAAGAGAGAAAGAAATAACTGGTCTCCGGAACGAGTTAGATTCTTTGAAGGATGCAGTTGAACACCAGAGGAAGAAAAACAATGTAAGCAAGTCTTTATCAGAATAAAGCTTTTCTTTTTATTAGTTCACTGAAATACCATGGTTCAGAATTTTTTAAAACCTGCTTTTACTTTAGATTTTTTTCTTAATCTTTTAAAGTGCTATTTTGTGTATAGTTTTTTGGGGGAAGAATTACTGGGATAATTTTATTGGAGAACAGATTTTTAAAAATAAATGAAAAGACCAATTTGTACACTTCTGGATATTATTTAAAATGTTGAAGCCATAATTACTACAGCTTCAGATTTAGACCCAGAGTTCTCAGTGGGAACCCCCCACAGCTGAGATATCTCTCCAGACCTTTAGCTGCTGCCTCTGGGAGCCCAGCCAGCCCTCTCACACCCCTGCAGTTCCTGCCAGTCTCTATGAGGTCTCAGTTTTTTGTCCTTGGTTATGAGGGTGCTCTCCAGTTAGTCTTCAGTTGTTTATTCAGGATGGTGTTTCTATATTTTAGTTGTAATTCCACTTTGGTCCTGTGAGAGTGTCAGTATAATTTCCACTTAATCTGCCACCATCTTGGAATCTACAGCTTCAGATTAAAAAAATTTTTCTTTTAATTAAAATGCAGTTGACTTTCTGTTGAGCTTTTATTTGGGAAAATTTTTTTTTCAAGTCCAACATTTTAAAATCAAAGATATTTCTTCTTATTTTGATTGGGCTAGCCTCCTTGTAAACTAAAAGTAATGCCAGTATTCAAACCAAGTATTTTCAATAATTAAATGTCTTTCAAAACCTTCTGGAACCTCCCTTTTTTAACTGAAGTGGTTCATGTTTTGAGAATTAAGCATGTTAGAGGTCTCTCAGGACCTGAGCACTTTTATGCTAAAACGGGAAGGAATAATGCCCTAAAAAATATAAATCTTGATACTCTTACTAAATAGACAAAGGTGAATTTCTTAAATTCTCTCTGACCAGAAGGTAACACCTGTGAGAATACAAACATTTTTGGTAGAGAAGGAATTTTTGCACACAAAAGTATGATTGCTAAGACTTAAGCAAGGTTAAAAATGTTACTGAAATCTAGGGATGTTGACAGTAAATTGATACGTGTTTTCTAATGAAAGCAAAAATTTTCAAAGTTTGCATTAATTTGTGAATTTAACAAGTTAAAATGTTCCTGTACCCGAGTTTGTCAAAATTAGGTATGTGAATTGCCCTCATGTGTTTATGTAACATTACTAACAGCATCGCTTGGCCACAAAACCTGAGTTGAATTTGCCAGTATACTGCTAACATGCTAACTGTGTCTTATTTTCGGGATTCTGAGATGAGGAGGGCATAGTAAATGCCACCCTAATGCAGCAGCACAGCGCTGGAGGCATTAATGTGTGTGAAAAGAGCGAGGACATGGGAGGCAAGCAGATGGGTAGTTTTGCCACTGCATCTGCTGTGTTCCCTTGACCACATTCCTTACCTTACCTGAGCTGTGGATCCCCATCTGTACCATGAGAATAAATACCTCTTAGGGTTGTTGTGAGGGTTAATGAGAACTTATGTGAAGCACCAAGTGCAGTGTGGAGCACATAAGTAAGCTTTCAATAAATGGTGATTATTGGCTTTTTATTATTTGTTTTTAATCTGTTTGGATTTCGAAATCTGAACAAAGACTGAAATATAAGAGATTGTACTTTTTTGTATTTGTTAATGAAATGCTGTTAAATAGATCTTTCAGAGTTCAGTTTCCAATGACCTCTGTTTCTCTTCCAAGAGAATGTGTTTTATAGCCTTCCTGCCTCCTGGTTTGCCTGGATCAAGTAGCTCATACAGTTCATGTCAGGTTGCTTTATGGCATATACATTTGACCATGTCAAGAAAGATACAGAAGCACAGTGAGTTACTATGTCATTCCTAGGTAGACTTGAAATGTGGTAAATCAATAAAACATATTTAGAGAAAAAAAATGTTATGCTGCAGTGGAAAGTCCCACAATTGATCTGGGTCTTGTTTAAAAATCACCTGTAAAGCTTTTTGCAATTCTTGTGTGTTTGCTCTGTCCTTAACCCTTTAAGATTCGGTGTACCTGAAATCATATTTGTAATCTTGGTATGTGTGTTTACTTTTGATTGGTTTTTTTCTTTGTCACATGTGCACAGTAATTACTTTAAGGCTGGCATATTTGGCGTGTATACTAAAACATGCGAAGTGGGCATCTTTATTTTCCCATTCAAATTTCTAAACATTGCTTTTTATTTTGTTGCTAATATACATATTTTTCCATTGAAATAATTTTGCAGTAACCAGCATTTAAATGCAGTGCAAAATACTGATGAAGTAAAAAGCAAAAATCTTTCAATAATGGATAAACTGAAATCATTCTTTCTAAAAATGATTAGGACCTTCGGGAGAAAAACTGGGAAGCAATGGAAGCATTGGCATCAACTGAAAAAATGCTGCAGGACAAAGTGAACAAGACTTCCAAGGTTGTAATGCTAACTCCTAGAAACAATCCACTGAACAGAGAAAATCTGCAGCTTGTCTTAAAATCAGACTAAAGCATTTAATTATACTGCAATTTAAATATATAATCTCCTTATCCATCCACATTTATCATCTCTGCCATCTCTACATTTTTCATCTCCTTAAAGCTTTAATTTTGGGCTTGCTGGTTTGTTGTGATTACCTGATTGTTTGAGCTTTGGTGATTATTGCTTTAAGCTGAAGAGTCTCAGGAGACCTATGCCTCCCATGTAAGCTCTTGTGAGACAGACAGTGTGCACGTCTTGGGTTGGTTAAGAAAACTTCGATGAAAACTGAGTCAAAAAAATCTAACTGAATTAACAAACACATTTGAATACCTAGGATGTACCTACAATGCACAGTAGGTTCTTTGAGCACACCAAGATAACTAAGACAAGGTGAAAAATAATTAAAGTCTTAAGTGCAGGGAAAGGATCACTTATTGGTATATTATTGGGGATGGTTCCTTACAGAAGGTGGAATTAAAATTAAACTTTAGGTTTTGAAGTGGCTGGACAGTAATGATACATGTGTTATGTTTAGTATGGAATATTAATGTAAGGGATAATTCTCTTGCTCAGAGAAATGTATAGTACTCAGGAGTACTGTACATGCTCCAGAGTGTAGAGTATGTACAGTACTCCTGAAACATACAGGGTGTCCCCCCAAGATGTGTACACATTTTAACAGCTGATAGCTCAATTTTGAAAATGGAATTATTTTAATAAACACTGCCTTTATAATTATTCAAAGTGTGTGTATACACTTTTGGGTACACCCTATATCTCTTTCCCGGTTTTCAATGTGATAAAGGATATTCTTCCTGAGTTCAAGTTGTTCCATGGGTTTGAAGATTTCTAGTGAATTATAAATAAGAAGTTGTTTTTAAAGATTGAGAGAAATGGGTGTCCCAGTTCAGTCAGGCATTTTGAAAATTCCTACCAAGAATAAATGTGGAACAGGAATATTGAATTTTACAGATGGGTTAATAAAGCTCATTAATTATATGATTCAGTTCAGCATTATATAAGTATTTTGTATGCCAAGATAATCTTGAATTTTAAATGTAAGTCTTAACGACATTTGAAGAACTTTTTTTCGTAGAGTTTTTACAGATTTTTAAATCACGTGTGTATTTGTAGTTATAGTTCCTTTACTGTAATGGAAATTTACTTGTATACTTACCCACCTCGCCCTAATTTTCACTAAAACCTAAACTTGAGACTGCTGGCAGATATTGGGACCAGAGAAATCTAGGACAGGGAATAGAAAAATCTAGGCCAGGTAGGACAGTGTTTCATTGTGAGTGGTTGCAGCCAGTTTTGTCATCAGTGGGGGTGCTGGCATAGTTTCTGGTTGTTTTTATAACTTCATTTTTCACTGTCAAGAGCTACCTTTTAGCTTTTGTTTTGGTAATGAGACTGGGTATCTCCAAAGTACTAATCTCTTAATAATCCTGCAGTAAGTTATATGCTACCTGTCATAGATATTCTGGCGTGTTATGATTCCAAAAGACAGAGTTTGTCCATGTTTCATCATGTGCTTAGTGATGAGTATAAGAATTTATCCACATTTCCAAACTCACTACCAAGTGCATGGCTCCTTGCATAGCTAATAATCCATAGAGAATAGAATTTACAATCTTTCTGTATTTTAATAGAATGTAGTCCTCAAATAGCATAGGTGTAAAGTGATACTGATTGACCCGGGACTACAAGTTGTGCTGTAAGGAGTATATATTCTTGAGGAGCTATTATAAATGTTAGGTTCACATGAAAGATACTTTATAAATATTACACTTAGATAAACATAGTAAGGAAATTATAATGATGCAATTTTCAATTATTGGATATTTTCCAGGTATTACAGAGGAGTGGAAATTGTATCCACAACCAAACTACTTTGTCCAGTGAAAACTTTTTAGCTAAAATTGTCAGTATAGACTAAAAGTAACTTCTCATTTTTGTGTCTCTTGGTTAAAAGTTAGACCCTTATTTTCTTTAGATTCTTTTTTCCTTGAGAAGTTTTCAAAACAGGTTCTGTTCCACAGTGTATCTTTTCCTAAGTGATTTTCTTTAGAGATTGCTCTGCCATTTCTGTGGCCAGATGGTAAAAATGACCTCTTAATTGTCTCTGAATTGGTAAACATTTTCCTTGAATGCATATAACTTATTTTATGCAGTTAGATGCATGTATTCCTGAAAAATAATCAATTTTATTGAATTATTTAAAATACTCCATTAAAACATTGATTTTTAAAATCCTGCCATTAATCCTAAATAAAATAAATAGCTTTTTGTGTATGGAGAATATGATTAATCTCTAAACTTCTTATTGTGTGACTTTAGATTTTTATGTTATTAGATTTTCTTTTTTTAAATATATCTTTATTGATTTCAGAGAGAGGAAAGGAGAGGGAGAGAGAGAGAGATAGAAACATCAGTGATGAGAGAGTCATTGATCGGCTGCCTCCTGCACGCCCCTGACTGGGGATCGAGCCTGCAACCCGGGCATGTGCCCTGACCAGGAATCGAACTCCGATCACCTGGATTCTAGGTAGACGCTCAACCACTGAGCCACGCCCGGGCGGGCTAGATTTTCTTAAATTGAAGTGTGTGCATCTTAAATCTGTAATAGATTCGTAAGATCACATTTAAGTGGTGATGGGGGAAATAGAATTGAGATATTGCTAACTTGCTTGTATTCCTGTCACCCGCTGAACTTCACAAGTGTTTTGAGATGATTTTCTTGGCTTGGCTTAGATGTGCATTTTATAGCTCTCATTTTTTTATCTTGTAGAGATAGTTTTATTATTAGGTTCTTATTTGGTATGTGATGAAGCCATTACCCTAATTTTGACAAACCATGCTTTTGAGTTAATTGATATACATTAGACTTGGATTTAAATTCACCAAATTTAGACATGCATTTGTAACACTTAACTTTAAATTTATAGTTGACAGAGCCCATACACAAGTGTCAGAATTAGTCTTCTTGATGCTTGCATTGGTGAAGTAATATGACATCAGTTTTTTCTCCTTCTCTTTTTCCCATATGTACCACCCATCAAATTTTGATTTGTTTTTTTTTTTTTTTGCTTTGTTTAGAATAAATATTTTCACCTGATCTTGAAGCTGGAAATATGAATTTGGCATTTTAATCCCCTGGCATTATAGTCCATCGGTGATGCATTTTTGTAGACATTTGCTAGCCAGTAAGCCTCAATGTTGCCCAGATGCATACTTTTTGCATGCAGTTTGTTTCAGCTATGGAAAGGGTTTTTTTTTGTTTTTTATATATGCAGTTTTAGCTGCAGGAAGTATATTTTGTTTTTTGGGTTTTACTTGCTTGTTTTTGGAAGTGCTCCTGGAGGGGCAAATCACTTGATTTCTAATGGCAAGGAAAATGTCCATATTGTCAGATGTTGCCTAGATTAATATAAGACATTATTTGTTATTTAGGATGCTTTAGAGATTTTGCAGTTTTTTATGAAGTATTTTGACATTTTAAAATGGGAAAATTTTGACATTTGTCAGTCTTGATGAATTTTTAAAAATACTTTGACTTTTTTCTCTTTTAGAGCTTAAAAGACCATAGCTTTAAAAAATTTTTAATTCTATAAACTTTGTAAGTTTGATTTGAACTTCTGCTTTAGGAAAGACAACAACATGTGGAAGCTGTTGAGTTAGAAGCTAAAGAAGTTCTCAGAAAATTATTTCCAAAGGTGTCTGTTCCTTCTAATTTGGTAAGATCAATTTATTATTTTTTAAAACATGATGTCTTTATCACTATTTAACAAAGTTGTGAATAAGCAGCATTTGCATTCTGCACTTGGTTTCAATAGGGCACCAATTCCATATTCTCGATTTCTCATCTAGAGTGCTTTTGAGTAGTGAAGATCAATTAATTACTTGATTCAAAACTCATTTCTGTTTATTTAGCTATACTTTTGTTGTATCCTATAAAATTTAAATAGATATATTATTTAGAAGATCATAAACATCATATCTGGGAATGATTTCTTAATGGTTAATCAGCCAATAATGTTCTTAATGGCTTTATTCAAAATAGAACTTAATTTTAAGTGATTGCTTCTTAGTTTTAGGAACACTTTATCATTTAAAAAATATGTTTTTATTCAGAGAGAGAGGAAGGGGGAGGGAGAGAAATAGAAACATTAATAACGAGAGAGTCATTGATTGCTGTCTCCTGCATGCCCCCCTACTAGGGATGGAGCCCGAAACGCAGGCATGTGTCCCAGTTGGGAATTGAACCATGACCTCCTGATTCATAGGTTGACTCTCAGCACTGCCACTGAGCCATGCTGGCTGGGGCAACATTTTATTTTTAAATTAAATTTATTTAATACTATGAACCAAGTTCTTTTCATTTCAAAACTCAAGATTTTGGTCATCTGTTAAGGTCTTGAAGATAATATAGTACAGCTTTCTTTACTTGAGGTTGTGTGTGTTTTAAGTGGGAGAGAAAAGTTGCTTTGATTCAGAGAATTCAATGGACATTTGAGGGCAGAGAAAGCCAGTGAATGCATGTAGTTTCCTAAAACGTTAGTGTAGGTCTTTTTATTTATTTTAATGTAGAAATTGTATGCCTACTTCAAAGTAGAGAGAATAGCATAAGGAACCTGATATACCCAGTATTGCGCTTCAACAATTATTAATACATGGCACGAATCAGCAATACATACCATCTTGTTTTACCTCCTACCCTGCACTTCCTAGATTATTTTGAAGGAAATCGAACATCAGAGCATCTCATCTATAAATACTTCAATATACATATGTCTAAAAGATAAGGATTCCTTAAGTTAAAACTATTACATTTTAAAAAAACCTTAGTTTTATATATCTAGGCAATACATTTCTCTAGTTGTCATATCAATTGTCTATTTTAATGAAATAATAACTACTTATTGTAGTTCGTTTTAGTCGGGACCCAAATAAGGGTCAACATGTGATGACCTAGAGGGAGGATTGCAAACTTGAAACAACTAAGTTAGTTTTTCAGCTGATTTTTATTTATATTGAATCCCAGTATTTGAAGCTAAGTAGGATTTAAATAGTATCCATTTAGTCTTGTTTCAAATTTATTATGTGAGAATGTAATTTTTTTTTTTTTAAAGGAGAGGCTTTTTTGACTAAGGTGCAGTGGTGGTATTGTACTATTTCATTGTACTATAGGGTAATCTCAGCATCCAATTTTTCCCCTCATTTTTTATTCTCATTTGATAGAGTATAGAGAATCCTAATTCAGTCATGTACATGAAGCTTTAAATTACAGCAGTTAATAGAAATTTCATTTGTGTTCTTTTTTTCTTAGATAAAATTAAGAGAGGACTGCGAGGAAAGTTGATTTAAAGTATCTAACAAATAAATACTTTATCAAAGTATAAAATTTAGAAAAGAAGCATAAAAGTAGAATAATTTGTTCTACAATTTAGAATAATGACTAAAACTATAATATATGCTTATGTTTACATCAGCACAAATAGTTTTTGTTGGTTTAAACAAGTAAATGTTTATGTATTCTTATTATGATTTTAAAAGCCCTTCATATAATGCATACTTATTTTGAAATATTTTCAGAATCCTAGGAGCACTTTCAGAGAACTTATAATCCTCTGAATAGAGTGTCTTCAGTTAAACTTTCAGTTTATGAACTCAGAATATGTAGTTTTTGAAAAATGGTTTACTTGAAAAAAATGTTTTGAAAAGTTACTCATTCTAGATAGTCTGTGTTTTCAAGATTGAATCTGTTAGTTCTGGCACTAGTAATTAAAAAAGGCTGGATGTGAGCCCAGATCTTCTACCTATAAGTCCATAATTCAGTTGCAGATATCCTTGGTCTGGGTAGATAAGATCTAATTTTGATGGCAGTATATAGAGGTGTGTGTGTGTATGTATATATGTGTGTGTGTATATGTATAATTTTTTATTTTTAGAGAACATTTTTTAGAGCTGTTGACAGTAAAACAAAGAAGGGCTTAGGATAGAAGAAGCAACAGGAGGGAGACTAGGCAGGGAAACGAGCCCAGGCTGGGCTTCTTTGACTCACTGAGAAGTCAGAGAAAAGGGGGCCTTGACAGGGCCAGGGGCCTTAGCCTGGGATGAGCTGCTGCTGTCTATTGCTCTCTGGTTGCAAGCCTTGTGGGGTCCCTTAGAGTTTCAGTGATGCATGCCTGTCAGGGAAGGAGGAAGGGAAAGATGTGGGCATGCTCCCTGGAAGGGAGAGCACGCGCCCATAGGTATATTTTTAGTGTTTATTTTCAAAGCTTGGTTATGTACAATTTTTTTTTAATCCTCAAGGATATATTTTTTTATATTTTTAGAGAGAGAGGAAGGGGGAGGAGAGAAACATCAATGTGAGAGAGAAACATTGATTGATTATGCGGCCCTACCAGGAAGCGAACCCGCAACCTTTTGGTGTACTCAGTGATGCTCCAATTAACTGAGCCACCTGGCCAGGGCGGTTATATACAACTTATGCATTATATTCTTCTTTGAAATTTCCAGAGGGTTGGTGTTTGTCTCTGTAGCTTTCATTTATAACCATCTAATTTAGTTATTTAAAAATTTTTACCTATTTATTTAGATTTTTTGGAAATTGTTATTTTTACTTTTCTGCTCCACAGAGTTATAGTGAATGGTTGCATGGATTTGAAAAGAAGGCAAAAGAATGTGTGACTGGAACTTCTGGTTCAGAGGAGGTTAAGGTTAGTTTAAGAAGTGACATATCTATATTTTAACCAAAAAAGAAGGAAATCAGAATTTGTCTTTATGAGCTTGGGAAAGATAATAGATGTATTATGTGTAGACTGATGATTTTTTGAGAAAGCATAAGGTAATTTCATTTTGTGTAAATTTTGGTGAAAATGCTGCATGTCTTCCTTTCATTTAATTTGTATACAAAGTTAATGTTTTCCATTTCTTTAACTCTGTACAATTCATTTCTAAAACTGAATATTTTCCTCTTACTCTTTCTAGTCTGAGTTTAAAAAGTAAAGCTCAGTTGGGGTATGTAGGTAGAAACTGACTGGTTTGCTAAAGTATCCCCGAATACATCATTAGAAGTGTTTAGAACCTAGATGTGTTTTTATCCTTGACTACTGAAATTTGGAGATTAACTTTTCTTTGTATGTCAAGGCGGCATGATTAAAATCCCCTTTCCTATGTATGTAGCATAGGTATTATGATTTTACATGTGGATTGGCTTGGCTTTGGTTTTCCATCCTGCTAAAGAATGTCAAGTCTATTTATTATAAAATTGTGTGTGCTATATTTTATATTAAGTAGACTCGGAGAGTTTTTTAGCAAAAACCAAATGACCAAATATGTCATTGCACTTTAAAAAAAATAAAAATCTTTATTGATTTCAGAGAGACAAGGGAGAGGGGAAGAGAGAGATAGAAACATCAATGATGAGAGAGTTGTCATTGATTGGCTGCCTCCTGCATGCCCCCGACTGGGGATGGAGCCTGCAACCTGGGCATGTGCCCTGACCAGGAATCTAACCACCATCTCCTGGATCCTGGGTCAATACTAACAGCTGAGCCATGCCTGGCCAGGCTGATTGCACTTTTTTATAGCTCCTTAAGAAGGTTGAAATGTAGTGTTTCATTATAAAACAGAAACCATTTGTCATAATATACCAGTAAGTACCAAAACAAGTTTGAAGCACAAAGCTTTCTGGTAAAACTAGAGAATTTTTTTGTATGTCATTCTTTGCAGGTTCTAGAGCACAAGTTGAAAGAAGCTGATGAAATGCACACATTGTTACAGCTAGAGTGTGAAAAATATAAATCCGTCCTTGCAGAAACAGTAGGAAATGATTTTTAATCTACATTTTGGTTTCATTTAAAAATCATTAACTTATTCCTTAGTGACTTAAACAGTTTTTTAACATTAGAACATGAATTTTTCAAAACAAACTGTACTTTTGTCCATAGGAAGGTATTCTCCAGAAGCTACAGAGAAGTGTGGAGCAAGAAGAAAATAAATGGAAAGTTAAGGTTGATGAATCACAAAAGACTATTAAACAGGTATTGCATTTAAAAAGGAAGCGCTTAGAGCAGTGATTCTCAAAGTGTGGGCCCTGGACGAGCAGCAGCAGCACCTGGGAACTTGTTAGAAATGCATTCTTGGGTCTCACCCAAGACTTACTGCATCTGAAATTTTGTGGGGCTGGCAGTCTGTTTTAAAAAGTCCCTCAAGTGATTATGATTCCCACCCAAGATTGAGAATCACTGGTTTAGAGTACAACTAAAGGATAATGGTAAAGGATGGAAAGTGTTTTGGAAGTTACAGAGCTACTGTGTGATTACAAGAGAGAAAGAATTTGGAGTTCAAAATGACTTTAATTTTTTTTTTTAATCCTTACCTGAGGATATTTTTTCTGTTGCTTTTATATTTTTTCTTTCTTTTTTTAAAAAAAATATATCTTTATTGATTTCAGAGAGAAGAAAGGAGAGGGAGAGAGAGAGAAACATCAGTGATGAGAGAGTCATTGATCAACTGCCTCCTGCATGCCTCGGACTGGGGATAGAGCCCACAACCTGGGCATGTTTCCTGACCGGGAATCAAACCTTGATCGCCTGGATCCTAGGTCGACACTCAACCGCTGAGCCACACCCAGCGGGGCCCGTTGCTTTTCAGAGAGAGAATGGGGGGTGGGGAGAAACATTGATGTTGATTGGTTGCCTCCTGCATGTACCCCAACCGGGGCTAGGATCTAGCATACAACCAAGGTGCATGCCCTTGGCTGGAATCGAAATTGGAACCTTTCAGTCTGCAGGCCAACACTCTAACCACTGAGCCAAACCGGGGCTCAAAATGACTTTTAAAATGTATTGTTACTCATGATACAGTATTCAAGAAAAAGTTAAGTCTTTTTTTTCTTTATGAACCTGAATGTTTTTTGTAGTCTTAATTTTTCTTCCTTTTACTTGGGTGTAGTAAAGAGGGCCATCTATTGCTCGCTTGTTTTCCTGAGCCAACCTGTGCAGAATTTAGGGATGCTGATGATATTCTATGTTAATGCATTTGGGGACTAAATACCGCCAGTTATCAGTTAAATGTTTAAAAATTTAAGCACTTCTAGCAAGGACTAATATAATGGCATACAAATGGGGTGGATTTTGACTGCAGTTTAAATCAGGTTGATGCTCTCATTTTTAAGGTCTTTTAAAATTCAGTATGGCTTTAAATGAGATGCATTTCAAGACCTCTGAAGTGTCTAATGGATTAAAATTCTAGAGGATAGAAACCTCTATATCCTTGGTGGTTTACTTGGCTAAATAATTGTTTCTCATTTCAGATGCAGTTGTCATTCATATCTTTGGAACAAGAGCTAGAGCGATTAAGAAGAGAAAATAAAGATATTGAAAATGTATGATATTTCACTGTTTGACTTGTAACCTACAGACTCATTTTTAGCATTAAGGGTTTTCTTAAGATCTATGTTTTAAGACTTCTTTAATGCACTGATGCAGTTATGCATTTAAGAATATCTTTGTAGTTTTTGAGATGATAATACAGTAATTTTATATTCGTAAGTGCCATAACTCTCTGTTGTGGGGAAGCATCATGAAAGGAAATCTTTAATGTGTTTGTTAACTTTTCCTTCTTTGTTGCATTGCTAGCTGAGAAGAGAACGAGAGAATTTGGAAATGGAACTAGAGAAGGCAGAAATTGAACGATCTACCTATGTCACAGAAGTCAGAGAGGTACTTATAGTAGAATTTTTTCAACCTTGCTTCTCAATTTAAATTAAGTTTATAACAGTGATAAAAATAATTCAATATAAGTTGTTTGTGGCAGAGCATCCAAGTAGCATACATAACATGGGCTACCATAAGGAGATCAATCTTAAACTCTAAACTTCATTGCAGCTGAAAGATCTGTTGACTGAATTGCAGAAAAAACTTGATGATTCATATTCTGAAGCAGTAAGACAGAATGAAGAGCTAAATTTGGTAAGAAGCTTGTTCTCCACTGGGTATCAAGTAGGCTCTGAAAACACTTGTGTTGACACGTGGAGAAACCATCCAAACTTCTCCTTGCTAACATCTTTAGCTTGGCATTTTTGTAAGTTTAAGATAATCTTCATATTCTGATGACTCCTAAGATGATTTTTCTTTTCTTGATTCCTAAGATGATCCTTCTTTTCTTAGCTCCTAACAATGGCATGTTTGGCTTGCAACTCTTTCTCAGAAAAATTGTCTGTGTTTTATAAAACCTAACTTCTTGAACAGCATTATGAATAAAGAAATGAAACAAGCTGATAAAGACTGAGTTGTGAAGATTTTCTTTTCAGTTACCATAATTAACTAGACCTCTTATTTTTTAACTTGGAAGGAGAGTTTTAAAGGTTGAGGATGCATCAGAGTTCTTTATTCAAGGGCAATAATCCAATCCAGCTTCTTACTTTAACTGGTCTTTCTATAGATTATAAATAACAAAAAGCTTGTGAAATTCTTTATCATCAACATATCATTTAGGGCATAGTAATCATAAAGTCATAGACTTAAAGATTTAACTAAAGTTAGCTAAATGTCTATAAAGACATAGAGTACTCCCATTCTTAAATTTCTGGAAATTTGTACTGATTGTCACAGGCTTAGTTGTTAGATAAATATGACTATCTTGTAGTATGTTTTAAAAACAATTGTTATGTCTTTCTGTGACTTAAAAATTTTGTAACATGTGATTAGATTTTTTTAAAGTACCTGAATAAACTCTAGGAAGATTACAGAAAGTTTTCTCCTTACCTCAAGTTAATCCTGGAATTTTCTTATTAGTACTGCTATATGCACCAAAGAAAACTTCCTAATTCATTCATTTGTGGTTGGTCTTCTGTGTAATGGTAGTAATTTATGGGAATCAGTTTTAAGAACAGGGCTCTATGGAATGTACACATAGAGCCCCTACGTGTACACACACACACACACACACACACACCCCCCCAATAACCTCTTTATTTCTTAAATAAAATTTTTATTTACCTTCATTTTACCTTAATTGGATCGTTCCCACTGCAAATAAGACTAGTTTTATACATATTTTCACTATACATTGTACAGATCAGGACTGTGTTATGCCACAGCTTTAACCTTACTCTATAACGTGTTTTTAGAAAATTTCTCCAAATTCCAGTTGGAGATACTGCTTTTAACTTTGGTGCTTGGTGGCTGGCTCCAACAGTGGCATCAAACGTAATTATGGTCTTTATTCAGTCTGATGCTTTCTTTGTATTTTTTGCTCCTCAGCTTCTTTCAAGAGGCCATTTTGAATGGGGTTTTTTTGCATTGAATTTTAATCTTAATTTTAGTTTTTCTGTTTGTTTGCTCAGGAAAACTGTTGCCACATTTTAAGATAAATTAAAATAATTTGGTTTGCCTATACATACATTGGGTCAAAGGAATAACCTCTCTGGTGTATTAAATCAGAGCTAAGTAAAGGAGCAAAAACTGAAGACATTAGGTATTTAAACAGAGTTCTAAAAATAAAATTTCCAAATTATTGTCCCCCACTAATTTTCCCTCCAGTTTCAAAGGTCAGCATCTTGTATTTCCCCCTTTTGGGTCTCTAGACCTGTTTGGAATGTCATGCCTATGGGTGGGAGGCTAAGTCAGTTACCTTGGTGAGTTTAAATAAGAAAGTTATTTTTTTTGTCAGTGTAGTCCATTTCCCTTATTCATATTTAATCAGAACAGTTATCAAGACTGGAGGCATTCTATATTGGCACTAGACTTTTATAGAGCTTTACTACTGCTTTGACAAGTTGGTTATTGAGAAGTATGTCTTAAGACTTGACTTGTTGATATCAGGCCATCGTGGTCTTGCCCTGACCTCTTCAGTGGCCTCTTACAGGATGAGCAGCATTTACAGTTTTGAAGTTTTCATTTTACTGGATTTGTAATCTCTCCAGTGTCTTTAAAATATGACACAATTGACTTTTCTTAACTGTAATAGTCTTTAGAAACTAGTAAAATTTCCAACTAATTGCCTTTTAATTTGGAATAATTTAAATATGAATGAACTACTTTAAGAATAGTGAATAGTAATACTTCTTAAACACACTTGACTAGAATTTGATGGTTTTAAGCAGTTTTCTACTCTAAACTCTAGTTTGTTTCTATAGTTTTTCTTACTTTTAGCTTTACAGGTGGGAGCCTCCACTGCTTAGCTTTCCTATACATCCGGTGCAGCATATTGGCTAATCATTGTGCGTAACAACTGTTAGATATACTGTTCTTTCTCATTCATTCTTCAGTCCTAGAAGTCTAAGCATAATCAAAGAAGGATGAAAATAAAGTTAATTATGGTGTTCCTTTGTTTTTACAGGTAAAAACACAGTTAAATGAAACACGCACAAAACTTAAAACTGAACAAAATGAAAGACAGAAGGTAGCTGGTGACTTGCATAAGGTAAGACACTGCTTGTCCAGAAGATGTTATAGCATCATGCAATGTTGTGAATCTTAAGCAAACATAATGCTAATTCTGCATTTATTTTTTACATTATTATATCAATTTGTTTATAAATTTAAACTATTTGTTACACAGTTTTTGAAACTAAACTTTTAAGCTTGTTTTTCCATCCTTAATTTGCTTCATCATTTCATCACATTTGTGTGATTGCTTTATAAAGTATAGAATGAACTTTAAATTTATTTGAAGTTATTTTTTAAAAATTTGTTTACATCCATATATTTTTGGGGAGATTAGCTTATGTAGTTGTTTAACTTCATGGATCTAAATGATGTATATAGACCTCTGATGTTTCAGAAGTTTGTTCCTTTCATTTATTTTTTCGTAGAAATAAATTTTTCTTAATCTCATATAAATAGGCAGCTTCTAGGATTACTTCTTTTATTCTCTGCATTAGGTTGACAAGTTATTTGTAATTTTGAGATATTTTTCAAAGTGTAATTCACATGTGCCTATTATCAAAGCTGCTTTAGAGCTATGATTGTGTTCAAGGGACATTTAGTCATTATCAAAGCAAATACATCACTTTTTCAAAAGTTGAAAGAAATGTTTTTGTTGATCCTGTATGATCTTATGCAAAAGTTTAGGAATCCAGGATTGCTTCAGATTATTTTGGTGTATGTGAACTTAAGTATGTTTTGGAGCTCAAAACTTAGGTACATGATACATTTTCAAGGCTCAGCAGTCTAATTTACTTTGATATGTGATTTTAATTTTTGACTTGGATTAAATATATAATACCTGCAGTTTTAGCCTACCAATTTAGTGTCTCATAATGTACTTTAAGGATATTAAACAGGCACTTAAAGATATTGGATATTCCATGTTATTTATGATGGCTACAAGGGCAATAGTAGGTGACAGTGGTGTGCCTCATATCTATATAGAAAGACTGTGTAACACTTCATTGGAAATGCAATAAATATTTATTGGAAGGAAGAAAGTAAAACAAGCAAATATAAAACAGCATGTATGTTAAAGACCATTTATATAATTTTTGTGTGTGTGCCAATTTACTAGTTGCCCTTGTATGGATACAAGAGAGATCTAGCCCAAGGGTCAGCAAAACCACGAACTATTTTAGGATTTATGGGCCACGTATGATTTCTCTCACATACTGTTCTTTGTTTATTTGTTTAATATAACCTTTTAAAAATGTGAATGCCATTCTTAGCTTGTGAGCTGAACAATAATAGGCTTTGGCCAGACTTGGCTGACCCCTGACCTAGACTAATGTTAACCTAAATATCAACTGTATTGTTTGAACCTTTTAAAACAGTGAGCCATGTGTTTTTATGATCTGGTTGGGGAGGAAGCTGTTTTCATTTTGGAGAAAAAAACTGAATAGGTTGGCTTTACATTGTTTTTTTAGAAGAGCTTTATTCTTGTACAAAAGATGTGAGAAAATCACTCATTTTTTTTCTTGTATATGTTTATCAGATGTAGTATGTGGAAGCTACCATATTGCTTTCCTTACAGGCTCAACAGTCACTGGACCTTATCCAGTCAAAAATAGTAAAAGCTGCTGGAGACACTACTGTTATTGAGAATAGTGATGTTTCCCCAGAAACGGTATGCATTTTCTTTAACTTTAGATCTCTTGGCTAATTGCCTATAAATTATGTGAAGAATAAAACATGTACAAGATCCATCTATGGCTTAAAAAATGTTTTTGTAGTCCTGGCCGGGTGGCTTAGTTGGTTAGACCGTTTTCCCTTACACCAAAAGGTTGCAGGTTTGATTCCCAGTCAGGGCACATACCCAAGTTGTGGGTTCCATCCCCAGTCAGGGCCCATACACTAGAGGCCTCTCCCTCTCCCTCTCCCTCTCCCTCTCCCTCCC